TTTGTGTGTCTCTTCAAGATTTCATAATGGACATTCAGTAGGCGCATCCTTCTTCCTAGATTTGATGTTCTTCCTCATAGGTAGTATATCATGCAACAACCTCCATAGGAAGATTCTGACCTTTGGGGGAATGTTAAGAGTCCATACTCATTTCCATTTCACTGGATCATAGTTATTTGGCACACTCTAATCTTTTCCAGTTCTCTGGGTCATAGGTGATTATGCCCTTTGGTGGAATGTCAAGAGTGCATACTCTATTCCAGTTCACTGGATCATAATTCTTTGGCTCACTCTAATCAAGTAATCATAGTCCATACTCTTTGCAGTATACAATCCCGATCTTTTCAAACTCCATACTTGTTGGTATGTGGTTGTTTGCCTTGGATAGGGATACTCATGATTCTTTGTCTGTCAATAGGGTTAAGAAGGAGTTGAAGCTGATTATACCTTCATGTCCGTGTCTCATGATCATTTAATTATGTAACTCGAGCTTTAACTCTCAAACACGATACTGGGGTGGTGACTAGGAAATGATCATCTTCAACCTCTGGAATCCACATGTCCCCCCATTTTCCACATTAGATTCATTCCCTATCCTCCAACGAATTCCTTCTCTGACTAATTCTTGGGCAGCCATTAAAATTCTCTGTACATAGCTACGATTTTTCCCTACTTGGGTATGAAGGATATCAAGATTAGAGTAATACTTGGCTTTTAACACTCTTGCTACTAGGGATTGTGGATTGTGATTTAAATTTCAGATTTATTTTCATAGTAGTGCAAAGTTAGAAGTTTAGAGGCCTCTAAGACCAATTCCCCCTATGATTTTGGTATGCACACATTTTCTCAAGCCATCCAAGGTATTCTTCTTTCTGGTGTCCCCACCAGAAATTGGCTATGGCACTTTGTTTTTGATCCACGACTCCATCTGGGACTAGAAAAACATACATGGTACAGGTGGCTTGCACCTAAGCTATAACCTTAATCAACACCCTCTTTGCTCTTCCATAATTTGATTTTATTTCTCACCCAACTTATATTCCAAAAACATACTTTGTTTCACTTCATATAACAGTTGGTAACCCCATATTTTTGCATGATAATCAACTTGTTTCATTCCAACGATATCGTGTAGCTCTATTCTCTTTGTTGAATCAATGTTTGGGCCGAAAGTGAGCTTTGATTTGTGCATGTTTACTTTCTAACCCGATTCCCTCTCATTGATATTCAATATATCCCTTAGCTTCATACATTTTCCCTTAGTAGTGGATAATGCCTAAATTGCACATATTTACTCCCTCATTTCTTGGTCATTTGAGATCGGTTTCTTAAATATTTAGCCTATTTTATGCTAGGTAGTGCTTTTTTGTCACATTTCAGGTCATAGTAGGTAAAAGAAAGCTCAGGTGCAAGTTTCGAGTAATTTGGAGGCTGTTTGGCGACTTGGGAGTCAAGCAGAAGCAAAACCCGAGCAAGCTATCAGAAGTGCGCTCACATTTCATAGGTCGAGTTTCACAGTGGAGTGACCACAACAAGGAGAAAAACACGGGCAGGCCAAAAAGCAAAACATGACCATGTTTCTACAATAATTCACCATGTTTCAACTTCCAAGAGGAATCCAAGAAAATATGGCAACATAGGCAAGAGCAGAACAAGGGCACCAAACGTGTTTCTCCCTAAAGTGCTTGTGTTTCTCCCCGAGCGAGACTTGTGAAATGTTGGGATGGACGAAAACACGGGTTGGACCAAAACACAGGCATGCAAACACAACCATTTTTGGCCAGCTACGGTTTTGGTTTTCCTCTCTCTCTCTCTCTATACTAAGGTATGCAATACCCCAGATTTCACCAGGGGTATCTTAGAAGGCACCATATATATATATATAGTAACTTCCCTTCACTTAGGTTTTGAGAAACCCTAGCTATGTTTGTTTATTGGATGATTGTATGAGTACACCTACTTGATTATCTTGGGTTCGTATTCAATCTATGCATGTTTGGATGTTCAATTCTACTTTAGCCAAGATTATTGATTCTAATTTGCTTCTATGAGAGGGAATACCATATTAGATCAAGAGAGCACCACAAATTGATAGTATGCGACTTATTGCATGAGTAGTGAATTGATTCCTTGCTATGTATCGATTGAGAACATTATTCAATAGAGGGAGTCTAGTGTAGAATGCCTTGATCAGTTGTTCTAGAGAAAGATACATCCCTCTAAACAATCAACTCAAGAGGGCCTTGATTGCTTTAGTCGAGATTCAAGGTCTAGTCAAGGGCTCTCCGCATTGTATGAAATTGAATCAAGTTAGAGATCATCGATCATTAATCCAGATAGTGGCTAGGAGGAATCATACCTAAATGAGTTCCCAACCAATAATTAGTAGTCTAACCTAGTTTAGCTTGTAGAGTAGTTTATTTAATCAAACCTTAACTCGATTTGCTAGATAATGAACTGAAGCTGAGTAATACTAACTAAAGAGACCTGTGGATTTGATATTTTTATTACTTGTGCCGCTATACTGGGTCCATTGCATTGGATACTGTTTGTACCGTCTAGCTCCGGATCGAACAATGATATTTGTTGGTGTGGGGTTGACTCACGATCCGTTCGTCTGATTTCGTCGGGAGGGAAGAGACCTGTGAAAGAGCCGGGGTTTCCCCCTGGATTAAGCTCCGACGATCAAGTCAGTTTATGTTTAAGGTGAAAGTTGAGAGAACAAGGTAGAGAGATAAAGTGTAGAGAGATAATGAAAAGTGGGAAGTCAGGAGAGAGGCGAAGTCCCCTTCTTTGGAGGGCTTCAAGCCCTTATATACCTGTAGCGGGTATCGAGTGTTGCCTATTGTCGATTGTGCGCCCTCCTACTTAGTCTGAATCGGAGTATTTCAGTAACACCCCCAACAGATACATTTCGCCATTGTTAGAAGTTGTGTCTTGGTGAGTCAGTAGCTCATATAAAGAATACACTTTTGTCACCAAATAGTAAATGTGAGATGACTGATGTGGTATTAGTGATAAAATCCTAGGAAGCCTCAGGGTCGTATTCCTCAAGTTCTTCTAATGCATAACTACTCACACTAACCATCCATGACATACACAAAAATCATAAAGACATTTAGGGGTTTTCATTGAACAAACAAGCAATCAAGAAGAGTAAATTTTTTAGGGAATTTCGATTTATAGATGCATAAAAGTAAAGATATGTTATTGTAGAAGGTAGTGAACTAAAAGATTAGCATGCATACTAGGGCTCATTCATATCATGCATTGATGGTTCATCAATTGTAACACCCTATCCCTTCCTCTAAGGCCACTCTCTACCCATGCATGCTACTCTTGTGATAGAGATTTAACTAGCTAATGTATGCCTTCGCTTCATGCCATTACTTAATCAATGTAGAACAAGGAAGTTAGGATAACATATAGTTAATTTTGGAATTATATGAACCATAACCAGTCTATAGCATCGATAATCTAACAATCAAGCATTGATACTATTCGAGGCATAGATGGTTGATCATTCCCTCTATACTCATGTAACATCAATGGGGTATCACCAGATGGTAATTTCTTGACAACCTAGGTAATATTAAGCACAATTCTTATAGATAGAATCATAAGCATCGATGATAAAGGAGCATTCAAACTATAGAAACATCAATGACATCACATAAGCATCAAAACTAAAAGCATTCATACATAGGCAATAACATCAAGATTTTCATAGAAGAACACTAGCATGAGATCAAATCACAACATTTATTCACATAACCAATGTAGTCAAAATCGCGCTTTAAAACTTAAAAACTTACGATTTTACGTTTCTAGGTCGCTAAAATGCTTCTACTCAAAATCTCAGTTTTTATAACTTATGTAGTTAAAAACTCCGCTTTAATACTTAAAAACTTACGATTTTACGCTTCTAGATCACCAAAAAGTTTCTACATAAAAACTCGCTTTTGACTACATTGCACATAACAATAAACAAGATCACATCCTTATACCATCAATTATGACACTCTTTTTATTCGTGGGCTGGGATTCCTGATCCATGAACTTCTCTTGAGGACAATTATGAACCGGACCGCTATCGTAACTGATTTGGCGGTTCTACTAGCCCGACTATTGATCTGATTCGGTTCTTATAACAAGGTTTTATACTATTTTATCATTGTCATACCAACATAATATCACTATGGTAGGACTTCATAACATCATCTCATCAAGGTCATACCATGGTTTTACCATTACGGTAAGACTAACAAATATAATGGATTTTGTACTAGAACCTAATTCATATTTAATAAGACGTTCCAATGGTATAAATATTTGATTTTGGGGTATTACTGGTACATCTTATTTTACAATTAAAGTTTAATAATTTATTTTTAAATTTTAATCATCGAAATTTGTTTAACCTAATGGTATAGCTTATATCTGCGACTAATATATGTAATTTTTCTCATCAATTTATCCTTTTAACGGTCATTATTATATAATTTTTTTTAAGTTCGTGCAAGTTCTAGAAACACTTAAAACATAAGCAAATTATAATGATATTTGTGTAAATTAATATGTTCTCTTGTTTATACATATATAACATAAGATTGAGATCATTTTAATAAAAACTGTATAATCAAAATGATGAATATGATATTCGTCCATAATCTGTATATAATAACCATATTCGTATTTTATATATGGAGTTAATCGGAGAGAGTTGATATCTCATCGATTCTTTTCATCCATTCGAGTGGAGTGAAATGCGCATTCTATTCTCCGATATTTTCTCGCTTGATCTCCTATCCTTTCAAACAACACGAAATTCTATCCCTCTTTTGTATCTTGAAATGAAAAAAAAATGTAAAGAGGACGATAACTTCTTTTCTTCATTCTCCACTTTCATATTACTTTTGTAAATATTTTTTCTCCTTCTTTAATTATTTCAAGCTATTATTGTTAAACTCGAGTTTTCACAAAGAGAATCATTGTCAGCAATGTCTTTTTCGGATTCCGAATCAGGCTCTCATGGCGGTAATAAGGAGTACAAGTTCTTTCGTGATTTTACTCGTGATCGTAAGTTTTAGTTATGAGCTACCACTAAAAAGGACCTTTTTTTTTCTTCTTATGAGAATGAAGATTGTATTTTTTATTACTAAACTCTTGATATTATTGTAGTGGTAGTTCATGTTCGTGAGTTCTATAACTTTTGTGTGTTGGTTGTCTCTAGGATTATTACACGAAATGTTGGGTTCGACAAAGACAGATGATCCAAGATCATCTTGGAAGGTAACACATATATGGTTATATAATAGATTGAGATCCGTCGAAACAAATGTCCTTTTTATAAATAAAAAAGAAAGAAAGAAATGTTGTATCCTTCAGAGAACGTTTAACTAATCTTGTACAGGTACTCATCATGGACAAAGTTACAGTGAAAGTCATGTCTCATTCTTGCAAAATGTCAGACATCACAGATCAAGGAATTTCACGTACGTATCATATTATCTCATTTTAACAATCTAGATTTTTTTTATGTGGAATTTCAAAAAATCTATTTTCTGAATGAAAAATATGAAAGTACAATTTTGCACTTGTCTTCTTCTATATTCTTATTCAATCCTCATCTTCTTTTTTTCCCTCAATTTTTTTGAGTATATGTGTATCCAGCTGAGCAAGAAAAAACAATCAATAATCCTGTACCAAATCTATATAAGTGATAAGGAGAAACAATAAATTCGTTGCTTCTTTGACCGTCATACAAAATTGACGACCACTATTGTTGAAGGAGAGAGATTCCGAGTTTTAGGATCGAGTTAGATAACTACGCACAACAATGAGGGAGAGGGAGAGGAAGAGCGAGGCTAGGGAGAGCGAAGGTCAAAAGAGTAACAGAACCGCCTAAAATCACTGGTGGCAGGAAGAGTGAGAGACCAAAATTAACATGAAGAACAATCAAAGGTGGCTCTCGAGTAAATCAAGTTTATGAAATAAATTAGTTGAAGCCGCCACGAAGAAAAATAAGTAAAACCTACCCAAAATTCACATTCTTGAACTGCACATTGTCAAAATAGAGACAAAATGAAGAGAGAGAGAGAGTTGCCGGTGGTGGCTTCCGTGGACGGAGGGAGGCGCCGACTTGCCGCATCGGAAACTTGACTAGTTGGAGGAGAAGGATGGAGATAAAAAGGAGACGGAGGGTTGAAGAGGGTGGAGTGATTGGAGAGGAGGGAAAATGAAGAAATAAAAAAATTAGTAAACGATAACTCGATAAGCTTGAAAGAAAGAAAAAGAAAGTTTGTGAATGTGAGTTTTTGAAATCCTCCATCCTCGAAAAAGACATATATTTATTAATTAGTGTTTATGAATATGAATCTGTACTGGATTTCTTAAAAAGCTAGAATATATTGAAACTAACATAGCTTTTATTTAATTATGATCAAATCATGTGCAGTGGTGGAAGACCTTTTCAGGAGAAGAGAGCCTTTACCCTCAATGGATGCTATATACTTTATCCAACCATCCAAAGAAAAGTAAATTTATTTTGTTCTAATTATTATTATTATTATTATTATTATTATCCTTGCTTACTAAATACATAATAATAGGTTATGAAATTGTGTACAACTATATCGAATCTCCTAATATGTAATGTGTTTAATTTTCTAGTATTTCAATAATCTTGTATCTCTTTTCATTTATATATGATTTTATTTTATTTTTCACAGGAAAGGAGGGATTTACAATTTAAATTCATTTTTATATTTTTTTGGAAAAAAATAAAAAACGCTCATTTTGACTCTCTACCACCACTTATTCGCTTAACTTAACTCTAATTTTAATATATTTTCACAGAAGAAATGAGTTCATTATTATCTACAAAACCATATTAGTGATTGATATATTTTGAAGAAAATGTTTTCGACGAATTCTTTTATCTATTTTTGATAAATTATACCACTCTTTTATTGAAATCACTCTACCACCCTCTGCTTGGTCACGGTTAAAACCATATCGAATCCAATCCAGTTTGTATGTAAGTGTAACCCGGTTATCCGGATTGCAATGTTTCCAAGCTTTACTCTATTGTGAGGAAAAAATAAATCAATCAGCATTTTTTTTTCTCTCCAAAATACGGGGAAAAAACGGATGTGTTTTGTAGAATATAATTAATAAAAAAAAATTCTGAACCAAAACTTGAATATATTAAATAAATGAGATATGATGTAACAGAGAACTCATTCTGCATATGAATAAATACCCACAGATTACTCACATGTTCGTTCTCCTAGATCATTAGTATTAAGTAAGTCTTTGTTTGGCTTATTTGTAAAACAAAGTTTTTTTTTTCTTTTTTGGTCCTCCATTTAATTTCCGTTCATGATTTTAACTACTAGTTTTGTTAGCATGCAGTATTGTGATGTTCTTGTCAGACATGTCTGGAAGGGAGCCACTGTACAATAAGTACGTCGTGACATGCAAACAAATACGATTTAATGTTGGCTTTAGTAGTTAATTAGAATGGCTTGCTAATTTAGTTTTCCTTTTTTTATTGTGTAAGAGCTTATGTGTTCTTCAGTTCAAGTGCGCCGAAGCAATTGATCAATCATATCAAGTCCGACGTTAGCGTATTACCTCGTATCGGCGCTTTCAGAGAGGTGAAGTTGCTATTGTTTTTTTTTTTTTTTTCCTTTTTTTTTCCATATGATACTTTGACTTGCATACATATATTGCATTAAAATAAGCATAATGAATCGTACAAGTTGTCATTAATTATTATTATTATTATGCAATGCATGCGCAGATGAATTTGGAGTACTTTCCTATTGACAGTCAGGTACGTATGCAATGAATTAGAGTATATGACCAAACCAGTAATTAATTACTAATTGTAACCTGATTTTCATATGTTCATTATGATAAATGGTGATGGAAGGCGTTTATGACGGATCAAGATGGCGCGTTGAGAGAGCTATATGGTGTTGAAGCAGACAAGTCTCGAAGATTTGAGGCTTCCTTGACTTTGATGGCTACTCGGCTTGCAACTGTGTTTGCCTCGTTGAAGGTAACTATATAATGGATTTTGCACCACAATCCCATCCATCATCTACGTACTTACGTACTAACAATGCAGTCCAAATCACGTTTTAAAACTTAAGAACTTACGATTTTACGTTTCTAGGTCACCAGAACGCTTTCATTTCCATATAAAAACTTCTGTGTATGAAATCAGACTAAATTGCGTTTTTAAGGTTAAAAGCTTACGGTTTTACGATTCTAGTTTACCAAAATGCTTTACGCTTTTAGTTCACTAAATGTGTATTCTTTTATCATGAAATTAATTATCAAACGTATATTTTGAAGGTAAATCACCAACAATATGATACATTTGAGATTAAAAGATACATACCAAGTAATTGGATGCATTCTCAGCTTCAATAGAGTAATCTAGCTAGGCTCTTCCCAAATTCATTAGCATAGAGGGGGAAAATGGTTGATTGTTAAAGATTTGTGTTTATGAACGTATTATTAAGAGGGCTACAAGTTGCTCTACTTAAGGCATGCATTGCAAGTATTTATTTACTTATCTAAATTCTGTGCACTCGTATTTTACACCGTATACGTCGTACTTACCATATTTTTTTGTTATTCTACCGTATGTGTAAAACCACTTACGCTTTTACGCTTTACGATTCTACCCATTTTCCGCGCTTCTAGATAGAATTACGCTTTTTGACTGCATTGCGTACTAATGCATGCATGCATGCAGGAGTTCCCGTTTGTCAGGTACCGGGCGGCGAAGGCATCCGAGGAATCCACATTCCGCGACTCCATCCCTTCGAAGCTTGCCGCCGGAGTGTGGCACATGGTTTCTCAGTACAAATCTATTCCCAACTTCCCACAGAGAGAAACTTGTGAGCTCTTCATCCTGGACCGAAACGTGGACCATGTACGTTTTTCCGTCCCGATCGAATTCTAATATGTATTTTTTGAAACCATCCCTCCGGCCACCTGCTCCTTTTTCCCGTTTGTTTGTAGAGTTAAAAAGTATCATTTTTGCTTTTAGATTGCACCAGTCATTCACGAGTGGACTTACGATGCAATGTGCCATGATTTGCTGGAAATGGATGGCAACAAGTATGTCATTGAGGTATATATATATATGTATATATCAAGTAACATTTGCTCCATACAAAGAACGTGAAGCACCATTTTTTTTTTAATTAATTAGTCGTTGCATGTTGTTTTTGTCGTAGGTTCCTAGCAAATCAGGTGGCCCGCCTCAGGAAAAAGAAGTGCTCCTAGAAGACAATGACCCAGTCTGGCTTGAACTTCGCCATGTCCATATAGCAGATGTACGATATATATATATATATATGAAACGCAAACAAATAGATGTCCTTTTATTTATTTATTTTATTTGTGGCGCTAATTGCGTATATTTTTGTCATGTCATATATCTGCAGGCTAGTGAACGTTTGTATGAGAAGATGACCACTTTTGCATCCAAGAACAAAGCAGCACAAATGCAACAAAACAAGTAATATTTACATACCATGACGACGACGACGACGACGACGAGTGAATATATATATATATATAATTTTGATGGTATGTAATAACCTTAACGTGTATATAGGGATGGAGGCGAAATATCAACAAGGGAGTTGCAGAAGATAGTTCAAGCTTTGCCTAAATACAACGAAATAATGGAGAAGCTCCAGCTTCATGTTGAGGTTTGTGTATATATATATATATATTTTTCCCCATGCATTCATGGGTATGGATAATTAATATTGGATATCTCTAACTTGGGTTTTACCATAGATCGCAGGGAAGATAAACTTGCAAATAAGAGATATGGGGTTGAGAGATCTTGGTCAGCTGGAGCAGGATCTTGTGTTTGGGGATGCAGGGGCTAAAGAGGTCATCAGCTATCTCAGGACAAATAAAGAAGTGAGACTCGAGGGACACAAATACATATTTTACGATGAATGTGTAGTTGATTAATCATGTACTAAATTAGCTTTGCTGGTTGAATGAATGGTAACGTAGGATGATCCAGAAAACAAGCTGCGGATGTTGATGATTTATGCATTTGTGTACCCAGAGAAATTCGAGGGTGACAAAGGCACCAAGCTCATGCAGGTGCTTTTTTTACTTACGTACACACCAATTTCCATTTATTTTTTAATTTAATCCAGTGAAAGCTAGATATAGTTTTATATTCCATTGAATTTTACTGATGAATTAAAATTTCGGGATCAGTTGGCTAAGCTATCGGAGAAGGAGATGCAAGTGGTGAAAAATATGCAAATGCTGGCCGGATCATCTGCTGCGCCCAAAAAGCCCAAAAACAATTTCTCTCTCAAATTTGACAACGCCAAGGTACGTATGTATTTAATTTAAGTATTGTGATTATTTTATTTATGAAAAAATCAAGGAGTAATCATATTCAAACTCGATTGCGCGCATCAGACAAAGCATGCGGCGAGAAAGGACAAAACCGATGACGAGGAAGAGACATGGCAGTTGTTCCGGTTTTTCCCCGTGCTGGAGGTGGATCGAGTCGATTCATTCATTACCATGAAAGCTAACAAAAAGAGTGTAAAATTTTGATTAATTATGAATCGAAGAATTGTGGGTTTTTTTTTTTTTTTTCAGGAGTTGATCCAGAAAGTTAACAAAGGCGCCCTGCCAAAGGACGAGTACGTGTGCATGAACGAAACAGCAGCAAAGAGTGGTGGGTCGGGGGAAGGCAGCAAGGCCGGATCGGAGAGCACATCAAATGTAGGTGGCGGGCCCGAAAGAAGAGCTCCGGCCCATTCAAAGCGATCAAGAAGGACTCCCGCTTGGGCTCGCCAGCATCACTCCGACGATGGATACTCTAGGTCCACACTACTCCCTAGGCCCACACATAGCGTAGATTCTCTCGCATGCAAAATACAAAACTAAGTGCTTACTTGTTTGATTTTTGGCATCGGTTGGCACAGTGATTCGGTGTTGAAGAATGCGGTTCTTGATCCCAAGAACATGGGACAGCGCATCTTTGTGTTCATCATTGGCGGCGCAACTCGATCCGAGGTCGGCTCACTTCTTCTTCTTCTTCTTCTTCTTCTTCTTCTTCTTCTTCTATAGTGGAGGTAGCTGCCTAAACTGAATGACTTGTTGTTTGTGTGTGTTCAGCTTCGAGTTTGTCATAAGCTCACCACAAAGCTACAGAGGGAAGTGGTTTTGGGGTGCACTAGTTTGGATGATCCCGCCAATTACATCACGGTTGCCGCCTCTCTCTCTCTCTCTCTCTCTCTCTCTCTCTCTCTCTCTATACCATTTCATTCACTACGTCACCTTGTCACTCTGCTCCTTGTTTATTTGTTTTGCTTGCTAAATATTTTACTTTTTTTGTCAAAATCGCAGAAGCTAAGCCTCTTGTCGGAACCTGAGACAGCCACATCGGGAAGCCACTTGCCCATGCTTTTTTGAACAGTTTTGCTCGCGTCACAAAATCACGTAGTATATATATATATACATATACATATATGTTCTCCTTGCAAACAAATTGGAGGAATTTTGTTTTCATTAATCTCTTACCGGTACCCTGGATTTGCTGTGTAATCTTTTTTCAAGATGCTGATCAAAGGCCAACTTTCTCACGAAAAGCATATTATACGTTCAGATATATATTAATCGAAGTGTAACTAGTTCCTTACTAAGATACAATATTTTAAAAAGAATCACATGCCCATTTTGCTTTCTAGAGGGCGTTGTAGCTTATAAGCTCATTTTGTACTATTATTGTGATAGTCTGCTAAGATTTACAACTAGAACACCTAAAAATTACTATAATTTGTCCGGCGGTTTACCTAAGAAAATGATGTTAATTGGAAGTGGATTGTACTTTTGTGGTGATGTTACAAGAGAATGAAATAAACTTTTCAAGAATAGTTTACCTTTGAGATACGAATATAGTTTTTTATTGAATAATTTTTTTAAAATTTATGGACACACATTATAAATTTTATAATAAAAAAATCAAACATTGTTTGTCGTCCAGTCCATATTGAATGATACCATAAATTTAAACATGATACATTTTTATTACATTAACACAGTGAGCCTCCCCTCCCCCCCCCCCCCCCCCTCATAAGTAAAGTTCATAGTTCCCCCTTAACCAAAATATATAATTAACTATGTGATTGTAAAAAATGACTAATTATTATTGACTTGTCTGTATGCCCATGATGAGTTATCTTAGAAGAATGAATTGTTTAGTTCTATTGATGAATACTTATGGTGAAACTAAATTGAGAATAAGAAAATTATGAGTGATTTAATAATATTGAAGTATAAATTTAATTCACTGTACATATTATAGTAATAAATAACTAATTCTTATTGACTTGTGTTTGAGGGGATAAGGGAACAGCTACGGTGCTAATTGTACAATAGTTAGCACCGTCCTAACCAAGGGAAAACTACTACTAGTTTGAATTAGTAGTGATTTAGCTTAGATGTTGTATTGATTTTATAATAATTCGTAGTGATTTTTGCTAGTTATCACGGTGCTAACCCCTATAAGGGTTAGCACCTAATCCCATCCCGTGTTTGAGCTCGTGATGAAATACTTTAGAATAATGAATTGCTCACTTGTATCGATAGATTATAGTGAAATTAAATCGAGGTTTAGGGAATTGTGAGTGAATTAATAATATTGAAGTATAAGTTTAGTCCACAAATATTCTATATAATATTCTACTATTTATAAACACAAATCAATGGTTTCCAATATTTTTTGTTCAATTAGAACCACCATTTTGATATCATTTAAATTGGTGTTATTTGGAATCCATATTTAGGTTTGTTTTGAGTCATTCTATGCCCTTGATTCGTTACTCTAAGAAAATATTGGTAGTCTAGGGTATGTTAGACGATATGAATATTTTAGGTACCAAAAGTTTACACAAGTGTAGAGTTAGGGACGAAAATCGAGAGATCACGACCAAAGGAAAGAGGATCATGGTCAGGAAGAGAGGACGCGAAGCAGGATAGCTAGATCGTGGCCTCGACACCGAAGATCACAGTTGCAAGAAGGAGGCTTCAGGTGTGAACTTTTGGAGCAGCCAACAAGGAAGAAACATAAAGTCTTGACAATCGACTCGTGACTTTCTACATCAGAGCTGCGCGAAAGATCGTGACCTCGACTCACGAATCGCGATCGTGAAGTCGAGCCGCTAACTCAGCCAACGAAACGCAAGACGACAGGCCCAAGATCCCAACCTCATCCTCCATGTTCACGCCCATAAACTTTGCCCCTCCGGTCGTGAACTTGCCCGAATCCTTAAAATCTATAAATAAGGGGTTCCTCCCCCTCATTAGGGGAGTTGATATCATTTGTGAAATTACTAGTTGGAGAGAGAGAAAATAGAGATCAGAGAAGATAAAGGAAGGAGAAGAAGAGAAGAAGGAGGAGTCAATGAGGAAGAGAGCTCTCCCCAATTCAAGTCTTCTTCCATTTTCTCTACATGTATTTTCTTCCCTCCTTTATGGAGTAGTCCTCTTAGGTACTAGGGATTCAAACCCCCAAACCCTAGATTTAGGTTTTGAATGTAGATATAATTGTGTTAGAGTTTTTGAATGGATTTGTCTATTTCGGTGATTTATGCTTGATTATGCTGAAGCTTGTGTCTCGCAACTCTTCTCTACTAGCCTACAACTGAGTCTACAGAGCTAGTGAGAATTTTAGGGTTAGACTGGGAGCGCTTAGTTGATTAAGGCTAGATGAATGATCTTAGGGTTCCTTTTAGTTGATGAGGCAATTGAAACCCTGCTAGAGATGATGCAAGCATCATCAATCCATTGCTTTAGTGGGCATGATAGGTTGAACCTATTGAGAGGAATTGGCGCTTATTCCTTAGTAGGTGAACTTTGACTGAGGTGACAATGGGTCTCTGGGTGCATACTAGGAGGAGGCGGAGTAATCATTGAAACCCTCACTTTAGTGAATTCCACACCTTATCCTGCAAACCCAATGATACAAGCACATAACGATAACCGTATTTGTCAAAGTCGCGCAACCACAATCTGTTTAGGGTTTTTTGGAATTTTCTCAACAACACCAAAAAGTAAAAAGATAAGACAGAATTGAACTTCAACACAAAATTGGGAAGAGGATCGAACAGTATAAACGTAGTAGCTCGACCACAATGAAGGGATACTTGATTGATACATAAACAACACTCTATTCTATGGAATCCACCAATAACACAAAGAGAATTCGATGAACAATGTTCAACTGAAAAATCAATAACACAAAGCGAATTCAACGTCTAAAATATGCCCTAAATTCGTGTTTACAATCCTTTAAATAGGTCGAGAAAAATAAAACTAATAAAAGGTAAGTTTAACTCGAAATGAAAAAGAGTCCTAAACACAAAAGGTAAGTTTTACCCGTCAGCCGCGATCCCGGATTGGGGATTTAACACAACTGCCTGGGGTTCATTCTATTTGTGATCCTCGGTCCCACTCTTGATTCCCCGGTCGGGGAATTTAGTATTTCCTTATTCGGGGCTAGTTACACATATTTACCCCTCGTTTCTTGAGTATTTGACTTGGTTGATTATCGTCTCTCGGCCTATTTTACTTTAGAGTGTGTTGTTTTTTTTACATTTCAGGTCTAACACGTGTGGAAGGGTTGAGGACGAGTTTCAAGAAAATTGGAGGTCGAAAGCGCCGAAAAGTGAAGAACAGTCAAATGTCACGGGCAGAAGTCAAATGTCATGGTCTCTAGGCCGTGACAAATGATCCAAGACCGTGACAATAACAATTTTCAGAAAGGTTTGCACACTGCACATGCCTAAAGATTTCACGATCACCGGACCGTGAAAATCTCAAGGAGACCGTGATGTCAAACCAAAACGGTGCCAATGACCTGTGTTTTTTTTTCTGATGTCATGGTTTGTGGTTCAATGTCACGGCCGAGAAGTGCTGACCGAGAAAGTGATTGTCGGGCTGTATAAATAGAAGGTTGTTGGGAGTGAGAAGAGGAGGTTAGATCTTGGGTTGGTTTTACATTTTTGGGTTCCCTTCTAGGGTTCCACTGGAAGAAACCCCAAAGGGGAAATCATAGTGAGAGAAATGTATTCTTCTTCAAAATATAGAGAGAGAAAGTGATCAATAAGGAGAGAAGAAGAAGATTTGGGCACACTTCAAACTAGAGGAGTGAAGATTCTCACCTCTCAAGGAAATTGTCATCAACAAGAAGGAAGACAAATGTCACAGTCTCGAGGCAGTGACAAATGAGCCCAGACGGTGGTTAAGGAAGTCCCCATGGCAACCCTTGGTCGATTGGCCAAGAAAGCTAATTCGTTAGCTTTATTTGACATTCCTTGGCCCATCGACTGAGAGAGTGAAGCTTACACACACTTGGCATTTTTTTCGACTAATCTTTATATATGACTAGCGGGAGCAATACCCAGGTGAATTCTTCTCTTATTGGGTCAACCTCGTTTTACTTTGCTTGCTTGTTTTTATTTGTAGTTTCTTTAGTTTTAACCAAAAACTATTTGCTAGATAACAACTTAAGCGATTGAAGTAGGGATACATGGACCAGACCGGGTTTGACAATTAAAACTGTTTGCCTAGTCTACACCCGGTTAGATTTCATACTTGGGATCTAGTTCGGATTTTAATCGTGGTATTCGGAAAGAGTCAAGTTTTTGCCGCCATTTTCGGGGACTTACGGTCCATTATTTTGAAAAGGTTGTTTAGTGTTACTCTAACATTTTCTCTCTTGTCTTTTTTTCTTTTGTGTTTTATCTTGTTGTGATGCATTGTTGAGTCATAAATCCTGATAGCTTCTCCTACATGTGAGGGTATCAACCATCATTGATAACACCCAAATTGGTGTGATTTACCCTTCATATTTAGGATTGTTTCGTGTTAATTCATGTGCATAATTGTTAGAATAGAGTCGATTGCATACCTATTTCATTCCTATTTGATCATGATGTGATTTTAGGGTGCTTTAGACAATACATGAGAATTAGGTACGAAAAAGGGCACAAGTGTAGCAAAATGGGCAGGAATCGAATGATCACGACCTGGAGAAGAAGATCACGACCGAGAAAGCAGACTGCAAATTTGGAGGCTATGGGCGCGAACTTTGTGAAGATGCCATCCAAGGAGAAGCAAAGAGTTTCCCAGTCTGATCACGGTAACCGCTCACCCTGACCGCGAAGATGAGTCGCGACCGCGAAGTTGGCCCGCGAACTCCCCTAATTTGAAGACCAAAGCGGTGATGCCTGAAGATCGTGGTCTCAAGGAAGAAGATCAAGACATCTATCTTCCCCCTTCCTGGCCATGAACATGTATGTCTCCTAAACAAGTTTACCGATTTGTATTATAAGTAGTGGTATTATGTACGGTTAATATGCTTTGTTCTGTTTGTCGGTTTCTTTTGTAATGTTTGTAAGCTTTGTTATTTTTGTCCACCATGTTTGCCATTTTTGTCAACCATGTTTTTAATGTTTTTGTCTAAAATCAACATGGTTGACTTTTGTACGAAACTCCTCTATATAGAGATGGAGCCTCCAAAGTCGACCTGACTATTTTTCCATTTTGTATGGTTTGTCGGTCTAGTTTGTCATTTTTGTCCACCATGTTTGTAATGTTTGTATATCTAAAAAACAACCGGGTTCACTTTGGGACATAACCCCTCTATATAGAGATGAAGCCTCCAAAGTGAACCTGATTGTTTTTTCTATTTTGTATTGTTTGTAAATCTGTTTGTATGTTTTGTCGTTCTACTTTGTATTGTTTGTAAGTCCGATTTGTATATTTTGTAATTTTTCATAATATCAGAATTATTCTTATTATTAATATAAGTAATGTTATTTTTTTAACAATTGGATTGGTGTTACTATATAGATCTAAAAGCTAGGAGATAATCATAGGATCCGGCGAGTAACCTTTGGTTAAAATAAAAGTCCAGCTCCAGCCACAGCAAACTATATTTCCAATTTCCCAAAGGCTTTCCTTTCTTTCAACCTTCAGCCCTAGTAGCAGCAGTATCTCTACAATTCAATAGTAGCCAACATCAGAATCATCCGTTCATCACTCAGTCTCTCTTTCGTCTTGAGTCCCAATTTCAATTTGACAAGAAATCCGTTAGCGGATTCTCCACAATCGGCTGCGACTCAGCTTCTGATCCTTTTGCTGGAAATGGACGCTCTTCTCCCCATCGTACTTCTCTCGGTGCTTCTCGGAGCTCTCATCGCTTTCTTCTTCTTTAAAAGCTACTCCCTCAAACGCAAATCTGAAATCGGAACCTTAGCTAAACCCGAGCTTCATTCCGATCCCGCTAAGAAGCCCGCCAGGGCTCCCCAGTCCAAGAAATCTCATTCTAAACCCCACTCCCATTCTCATGTATCTGATAAGGTGCGTTGTATACCTCTCTGATTCCCCCCTTTTTATTTTTATTTTTCCTGTCAACGTTTAACTTCTGGATGATTTGAGCAAAACCAGAAATGGAGGATTTCCGTAATGTTGAGTTTCTTTCGTGGTCGGGGATGTCTGGGTTGTGCTCCGTTGCCCTGCTTTTTTCACTTTTAGGTTGAATTCTGGAACGAATGCAATGGGCGAGGACTATTATTCAGCTGTTTATAACTGTGGTTCGAGCTTGTCTGATTGTTTTAATGCTGGAAATTTGTAGGATCAAAACAAGCGGCATCATCCTTTGGATTTGAATACGCTGAAAGGCCATGGAGATTCTGTCACCGGGTTGTGTTTCTCCCCTGACGGACGCCACCTGGCCACTGGTACGCTCGCTAAAGTTCAGCACTTTGGAGTCGATGTGTTTGTGATCTGACTTGATATTTACTTGAGACTTGTTCTGGAGTTCCTCTTATTTTTTGCAACTTAGACTCGGAGAACGGGATCTATATGGCTGGTCATTATTGTATCAGAAATGTCTAATGGCATCTTTTTGTGCTGGAAACAGCATGCACAGATGGGTCGGCTCGGGTATTCAAGTTGGATGATGCTTCAAGTAAGAGTCAGAAGTATGTTCACTCTGTTCTCTTCCTGCATTCTAGTCTACAGGTAGATTCTTGATGTCGCTACCTTTAATCTCAGTTGATGTTCCGAACCCTTGTGCAGGTTTCTGCGAATCAATTTACCGCCTGGTGGTCAGCCTGCTGCAATAGTATTCTCGGGTGATTCTTCCTCTGTGGTGGTTGCATCCCATGCTATGAGTGGTTCATCTCTATATATGTATGGAGAAGAAAAGGCCAAGCCTTCAAATGACTCTAAGCAGCAACCCAAGCTTCCTCTTCCTGAGATCAAGTGGAAACATAACAACATCCATGGTCCAAGAGCTGTAGTGACCCTTGTTGAAACGGCTTCGACTTATGGCAGTGGTGACGGAAGTACGATTATTGCATCTTGTTCTGAAGGTACGTAAATGCTGATCCTGGGGCTCTTATGGCACATAAGTGGATTGGTTAAGACACTGGGTCCATCTTTATATCTTTTTCCTGTTACGATGAAGTACTGACACAACTTCAGAAAATGGAAACTGTATACTAATGTTTTTCCAGAGGTAGCTTAGTAGTGTAATTATTTACTACCATGTTCCCTTTTTTCTGATAAGTGTTTTTACCAACACAGTAGATTGAACCTTCTGCTTTCTAGCATATCGTTTGATATTCCTTGGTTTGCTTTGCTTTCCTCCAGGCACAGATATTAAACTTTGGCATGGAAAAACAGGAAAGCTTCTTGGTGAGGTTGATACAAACCAGCTTAAGAACACCATGGCTACTATATCACCGAATGGACGTTTTATTGCAGCTGCAGCTTTTACTGCTGATGTGAAGGTGAGACTATATAGTTCGACGCTTGCTTAGCCCATTGGTTAACAGTTTTCCTGAATTTACATGAGTGTTCCATCGATTGTGTTAATCAACTTCTGTTATGTTCGCATTGTGGAACAAGACGTTGTTCCAATATGCTTTGTCGCACTTGGGTCTAGAAAGAAATACTCAGGCCTTATTGTTCTGTGCTTTCTAGTAAGAATAGTCTTGTTTCACCTTATGAAGCAAAATATGTTCAACGTCCCTTGAAATGTTTGTATACGACTTTCTTTCCTTGTCAGACTTCTTCTGCAACCTGACGTAGGCTTGCTTCGGTTTCTATCCATGTTATGCCTAGTTGTTATCTTCAACATCATTAACTAGCAGCTACACAAACTATTTAACTTCTTAGCAGAGACAATGTGTGACCCAATATTATGATTCAGCTTAATTACTTGATTGATATTCTTGCTTTTTGTGGTGCTGACTAGATTTGGGAGATCATCTACGCAAGGGATGGCTCTGTCAAGGAAGTAACAAATGCCATGCAGCTTAAAGGGCACAAGGTGGTTTATTAAATACCATATAAGTAATGTCATATAGGTCTATTAGCATTTTCATATCTCTGGATCTAATACATGCAGCCACATTAGTAACTTTTTATTTGTTCTGGCTCTTTGTTCTTCAGAGTGCAGTGACTTGGCTATGTTTTTGTCCCAGCTCAGAGAAAATAATCACAGCATCAAAAGATGGTTCGATTAGAATTTGGAACATCAATGGTATTGCCCTTTAGAGAAACATGTCCTTCATGTTCTTGCTTTGAACTGGAAATTTGAGTTGGTTGACTTCAGGTCACACTTAAGCACCTTTACCTGTCTTTAAAAGCAGGCCTTACTGATACACAGCGAAGGAAAGTTTCATTTTGAGCTGTTTGACACTGCATTTTCAATGTAACACGTTGAAAATACCTGTTGACAAAATGACATTGTTTACATAAGAAGAGTTTCTCTAGCTGGTGGCAACTTTCTAGGTTTCTAGTTCCGGTCAAGCTTTCGCTTTGTTATGTCCGTCTGCTAATTGTTGTGATCATGATGACCTCTTCTTTTTCTGTTTTTTTCTTCAGTTCGGTATCATATGGATGAGGATCCAAAGGTCCTAAAGGTGTTCCCAATCACAACCCTCGACTCAAACGGTGCTACTGTCCAGTATAGGCACTTAAATATCTCCCCAGATGGCAAGATACTTGCAGCGACGCATGGTCCAACATTGCAGTGGTTATCCGTTGAAACTGGAGAGGTTTTGGACACAGCTGAAAAAGCCCATGATGGTAAGCAACATCCTTTTCCTATTAGAATAGCACATATATCTAGTTGTTAATTTGTTAGATTCGTCAGCCATGTTTATAGACTATGATAGTGGTGATGATTATGAAAATGTCGTGCAAACCATGTAGCTGAATTCATTCTCTCCTCTTTCTTGCCATCCTTGCATACGCAACATGCATGCTAGTTCTTGTAAGTTGAGAATCTCAAATTTGGAATGTTCCATCTCCTGCAGGTGATATCACTTGGACAGCATGGTCGCCCAAGCCTGTTCCAGTTGGTAAGTAGCGCACCGCTTTGATTTACAACACAAACCAAGGTTTGGTCCTGTCAAGAGATGGTTATGACCACTTCGTAAACGTTGGCATTGTTTTTCCACAGGTGACAGACACACGTTGGTGTTGGCAACGGCCAGTTTGGACAAGAAAGTGAAGTTGTGGGGAGTTCCATCATCATCAAATTAGTGACCCTAGAGACGGTTTAATGGTCTGTCCACTGATCTAGCACTGGAGGGAGCAAAGCTTAGAGGCCTGACTGATGGCAGCTGTTGTCTTCTGCTTCAGCAGTTTTGAACTGAGAATTAGTTCTCTTCCGGTTGAGATAGTTGAAGTGTTCTTTTTCTGGATTGCCAAGCATCGTTCTAAAATTGCAAATTGCTAAATCCGAGGGGTGGTTTAGATGGATCAATTGTAAAATGAGATAATTTGGCCAATTATCTCATTTTGGGCCATTCTTCTTTCTTCTCAGCAACGCTGACTCGAAATCCAACTTCGGCAACAACTTCTAACACTCTTTATTGCTGGATGTTGGAGTTTAGACCTGGAAGTCCAATACAGAGTTTGGAAATGAGAAGTTTGTGTTGAGTAGAATTTGTATTCAAACGGAGAGCATGCTCATAGAGTTGGGGTTTGAGAAAAATACTAGAGGTTTCCTTACTGCCAACTATGAAAGTTGAAAAGGAATATAATATCATAATTGATGACTTGATATTTGCACATGTTTTTCCTGTTGTTTCTTGATCGATTAAGCTTGTATTATCGCTTTTTTAGCCTATTTTACGCTAGGTTGTGTTCCTTTGTTCATAAAGTGAAGCATAGGCGTAAGTTTCAAGTCAATCGGAGATCAATTGGAGACTCGAGGGAAGAAACTCAGGCTTGACTTGAAGAATGGATTTCTACCTCATTTTGTAACCATAGAATCATGTAATCGTGTCATGAGAAGAAAGAGGATGAGACTACAAGCGTCCAGGATCAAACGACACCTGATTTGGAGTTCGAACGATGGAGAAACGAAGAATCAAAGACATGGGACCCGTATTAGAAGGCCCCCGGTCGTGAACCAAAAATACCTGGCTGGGTACCCAAAATACCCGACTGGGTATTTTCCTTTTTACCCAGAAAAGTGACCCAGAGCATTTTGTTGATACCCGACCGGTCCTCTAAATACCCGACCGGGTATTTGGACCAGGTTTCGTGAACGCAGACCGTTAAAAGCCTGTTTTGTGCGTTTTTGAAGGGGGAGAGCTGGGTTTTGGATCCCAAACACCCAAGGGACGAACCAAAGAGAGATAGAGGGAGATTTGAGAGCAATCTTGGAGTGGAATTGGAGGATTTCTTTGTTGGGACTTTTAGGGACGAGGGTACACGTACGATAGCCCGAGATCGGGTGACCATGATTGTGATAGAGTCGTGAACAACGTTCACTTTCCGAAAAGAATATTTCCACCCTCTACAAAGCCTTGGGTTACAGGAAATTTCTTCCGAGGATAAAACTATCACCACTTTAGGTTCTAGGCTCAAGAACTCTAAAGCATACTTGGAAATTTTTGGAAGAAAGAATAAGAATATGTTTCATGGTGTGTGGCATCATCCACCCCACACATATTTATAGGGGCCGAATCCATGCATTGTTTCATGAAAGGTCGCCTTTATCCATATGAAAGGTTGTCTTTATCCATATGAAAGGTTATCCTTATCCATATGAAGGGTTGCCTTTATCCATAAGGTTATCCTTATCCATAAAATAATGCAACCGCCACTAGGCCAAAGGGATGTGTCCCTTCATGGAATTAGAATATTGGTTCGATCGGTCTAATAACAAACCGGTTGGTCGGTCCATCCCAAAATTGATTTGACTTGGTTAGTCCGGTTCAACCAAATTTCCAACATTCCTCCCTCATTTTAGTGTATTCCATGAATTCACTAAAATTATAACATTCTTCCAACAAAACTTAAGCATAAACGAAAATGTCGTGACGATTGAAATTTCATCTTAGTATATTACACTTGACAATGTCCGAATACAAAGGGTGTCGCTAGCGATTGAACCCATTGACTCATATGAATATTCGAAGATAATATACACTTAGGTTTTCAAAACTTCAAAGCGCCTTGACACTATTATCCGCCATGTGCCCAATCCTTCTCATAAGCGCACACAAAACCAAAGTCCGGTTTTCTTGAAGCGGCTACACTTCATGCTTACGTAGGTTGAATCTCTTATTCGTGTACCCGCATAATACACTTTTTCAAAGATTCAATTAAGAAGTTTTGAACTTCATCCTCTTCTCTCATGCAGGATAACAAGCACATACCTCGAGATGACAAATTGTGTGCTTCAATTTCTGAGAATGAGCATTCCACATTGAATTCAGCCTCTAACGTTGTATTAGAGGGGAATTGGGTATCCCATGATCAGAAATTATATGGACTTTAAACCCATCCCTTTCACAGACTTTATCACCAAGTCACTAGTTAACCATTTCGTCAAATGATCAACCAAATTATCTCGAGTCTGGTCATATTGTCTAGCCACAACTCTATGAATGATCAGTTCACAGATTTTACTGTGCCTTACTCCCACATGACCGTACTTGTAATTTTCACTTGACTATATGCCATTATGCCTTAGCCAAATTAGCATTACTATCACAAAAAATAGCAATAAGTGAGATTGGTTTAGACCATAAATATATGTCATAAACGGATAAACCAACATCTCAACAATAATGCATTTTCTCTAAGAGAAATCAAAGCCACAAACTTTGACTCCATAGTGGAACTAGTGACGCAAGTTTGCTTTCTAGAGGCTCAAAATATGGCACCTCCCCAAGCAAGAGGACCCATCTCAATGTTGAAGTATCACCTTTAACATGAGAAATCCAACTAACATCAACAAATCCTTCCAAAAATGGATGGAAAGCCACTATAACTCAATACAATGTGCTTTGAGATATCTTAGTACACGTCTCACTTCATTTCAAATGATGAGCACTATGATTCACCATGTACCAACTTAATTGTTCTATCGCATATGCGATATTTAGCATCATGCAAGTCATGCATACATCAAGCTCTCAATTTAACATGGAATACTCCAGTTGTAAAACTGATTTCCAGTATTAACCATAATTTCCATTTATGGATCCATTGGGGTCTTTAACTCAAGACAATTCCTACTATGGAATTTTTGCAAGTACCTTCTCAATGCAGAAAAATTGAGAGAAGGAATCTTCTTTGTCGTCCCGCTTGATTCAATACACAGAATCACATTTTCCTCCCCCATGTCCCACATGGAGAATTTAAATAATAATTTTTTATTTCAAAGTTCACTTATCTTTTATTGGTACCAAAGATAAGCATGTCATATACATACAAATGTATGATGACTCCATTACCAGAATCATCATTAATTGTGTATATATTTTGTCTCCTTGGTTTAAAATAACATAAACCCTTAGACAAAATCACACCATTAAACCACTTAGACAAATCAAAATTTGTCTAAAGACTTCGTAAATGTCAAAACAGAGAATCAGACAAATTACACCATTGAGTATGAGACCTACACAAAGGTAATAGTCATTCTCTTATTTCTTTATTTTACGAAGCATTCTCCTTCTTCCTCATCTTCGAAACACCCCTCTTCCCAATTACCTTCAGGATATGGAATACACCATGAGACTAGTACGAAGAAAACCCATCTTCTACTGCCATCGATGAAAAACTCATCATCGAACATTCTCATAATTCCATAGACCGGAACCAGAGTCTTGTAAAGAGCGGTTCGAGCCATCGTACCGGAGAATATTCTTTACGATTGTTGGGACTTTTAGGGATGAGGGTACACGTACGATAGCTGGAGACCGGGTGACCGGGATTATGATAGAGTCGTGAACAACGTTCACTTTCCGAAAAGAATATTTACACCCTCTACAAAGCCTTGGGTTACAGGAAATTTCTCCTGAGGATAAAAACTATCACCACTTTAGGTTCTAGGCTCAAGAACTCTAAAGCATACTTAGAAATTTTTGGAAGAAAGAAGAAGAATTTGTTTGATGGTGTGTGGCATCATCCACCCCACATATTTATAGGGGCCGAATCCATGCATTGTTTCATGAAAGGTTGCCTTTATCCATACGAAAGGTTGCCTTTATCCATATGAAAGGTTGTCTTTATTCATATGAAAGGTTATCCTTATCCATATGAAGGGTTGTCTTTATCCATAAGGTTATCCTTATCCATAAAATAATGCAACCGCCACTAGGCCAAAGGGATGTGTCCCTTCATGGAATTAGAATATCGGTTCGGTCGGTCTAATAATAAACCAGTTGGTCGGTCCAACCCAAAACCGATTTGACTTGATTAGTTCGGTTCAACCAAATTTCCAACATTCTTTGCCTTGGAAGCTCGAGGAACAAGTCCGGACTTATAGACTGATCATCTAAAGATTCTTACTGCAGTCTCTCTCTTCTCTATGGAGTAACTTCCCTTCACTTAGATTTTGAGGAACCCTAGTTATGTTTGTTTGATTTGATGATTGTATGAGTACTCCTACTTGATAATCTTGAGTTCATATTCAATCTATGCATGTTTTCATGATTCAATTCTGCTTTAGTCGAGATTATTGATTCTGCTTTGATCCTATGAGAGCGAATACCTGATTAGGTCAATAGAGCACCATAGATTGATAGTATTGGATTGATTGCTTTAATCGAGGGTTGATACACTACTTTGTATCGATTGAGAACCTTATTCGATAGAGGGAATCTAATTTAGTTCAGAACGCCTTGATCGGTTGTTCTAGAGAAGGATACGTCCCTCTAGGCAATTGACTCAATAGGGCCTTGTTCCTTTAGTCGAGACTCAAGGTCTAGTTATGGATTCTCCCCATTGCGACTGAAAGTGAAACAGGTTAGAGACCATCATTCATTAATCTGGCTAATGGCTAGGGGAAATCATACATAAGTGAGTTCCCAATATGTAATTAGATTAACTTTAACTGTAGTTTGCTAGAGTTGTTTTAGTTCTTCCATCTTAATCTGGTTTGTTAGATAATGAACTGAAGCTAAGTAATAGTAACTCTAGAGACCCGTGGATTCGATATTTATTACTTGAGCCACTATACTGCAGTCCCTTTCATTGGTTTTACTTGGCCACTGTTAGGAGTTGTGTCATAGCGAGTCAAGTTTTTGGCGCCGTCGCCGGGGACTTTCTAGATTATTAGGAAAGGCAAAAGTTTGTTAATTTAGTTTTTCTTTCTGTAGTTTTTCTTTTCCACCCTTACTTTCCACTTGGGTGTTTTTGTTTTTGTTGGTGCAAATCTGAATCATGGATCCTAATGGCTTCTCCAACCAGTGGGGGTATCCACCACCACCCGAGTGGTATTACCCCGAGACTTCCTGGAGCAATCAAGGAGGGGAATACTATGGATTCGGGTTTCACTATCAACCCCCATACTATGAATAATAATCAGACCCTGGTCATTTCAAGAACAATCTCCTTATCAAGAAGAATTCCTCTCACAACCAGAAGGACCATCAAAGCTGGAGTTAGCCATGGCGGCCTTCACGGGCCATTCTGCAGAGCCATGCTACACTCCACGGCCAAATCCAAACTATGAATTTAGGCTTCTCGTGGAACAGTTTGTTCGGGACATTGAGAGATCCTTCCCAAAGATGGACCATATAATCAAATCAATTGCTTCGTCTGTTGTTCCCCATGGCCCTTCCTTTCTCCATGAATAAGAGAAGATTGTTCCGCACTCAGCAAAGCAAACAGAGCGCGTTGAGCAAGTTTGTGCACATCTTGCTCAAGACCACCATTCTGCTACCATAGAAGAAGATGAGGATAATGAAGGAGTCCGCAAGGACATTGTGGAGCAAACAGAAGTTGTCACGGAGAGCTCCCATGATGATCAAGAATGTCCTGTTGTAGCCGACCACACCTTCCCACATTCCATATCGATTTTTGAAGAGGCGGGCATGAGTAAGGAGATGCAAGATTATCTCATCAAAGAAATTGCTTGGCGACTTGCTCTCCAATCCGTGCTGGAAGAAGAAGAGCGAGAAAGGGTGCGAAAAGAAGTTGTGGAGGACGACAAAAGTGAAGCAGAAGGAGTTCTTGATCTTTTCCCAGGGGTGATACCACACTTTGAAGAAGGAATGGGGGGGGGGGGGGGGTTAAAGAAGCAATTGGCGTCCAGGCCAAGGACGAAGTTGAGGTGGAAGAGGCTTGCACCGACCATGAGTTACATGTGATATCTCGACCAAACTTTGAGGAACTGCTTGGCAAGGACCCGTTTGCAGTGTCTCTTTGCAAGACCAAGGCCACATCGACATCGGTCCCTCTTGGTGGACGCGATGGTGGTCAATCGATGCTGTCATATATGGTTTGGGGAAATGATACGAGAAAAGAAGAGAAGAAGAGGTCTCGAGGGTGGAGACTTCATCTGCATCAAGTGCATGAGCTTCCATCACCTGTCATATCACATGCTCGTGACTTGAGACTCCACCTCTTAGATGAGAACCTCAACTTCAAAGAGTTTCTAGCATGGACCGAAACTTAGGAGTCATCGTCCGGCTCACGACTTGAAAGAAGCGCTTGTTGGGATGCAACCCAACCAGTCGGTTTGCATTTATTTCCCTATCTCTTTCGGTTGAGTCAGTTTTGTTCTTTGATTTTAGAGTTAATAACTCAACCTTTGTGAGATTTTGTGTGGTGTTTGTGTTCCGACTACTCTCTCCTCCTAGAATGCACCGCCTACCCCGTCCACTATCATTCACACTTGATCTGGTAACTTCATTCTACCCTCCTTATCTTTCCTCCATTGAGGACAATATCGTGCTTAAGTGTGGGGGATGTTCGATTATATATGCGTGTGAATGTTTGGCTGTATGTGTGTGCTTGGAGCCTAGTCCACTGTCCAAATTTTTAAAAATTGAGGGCTCCAATTACGTGTCCCTTGCAAATGCCTGCTCAGTGTGCTTTGAATTGACAGCCTTTATAGTACTATGCAACCTATGGAGGTAGTTGTAGCACTATGGAGGATGCTGAAGTATAAGATTTTTCCTACCTGTCTCTTTGTTGTGCCGGTTGATTGTGTGAACTAGTGTATTTAGGACATTTGATTCATATGATATCGATGACTCTCTCTTGCTGTGTGTGGAGTCATGTTTTGTATAAGGGTGCTAAGGTGTGTAATGATAAAGCAGTTGGTCCTCCAAGTCAGAAAAATTGAAAATTTAAACATGGTGTAAGCCCAACGTGTGTGGCACCGTTCATTGCACAAAATCGGGTTTCAGAAGAGACTTTAGTGATCCTTGGTGGGGTAGGCCTACAAGGTGAAGCTAAGCCGTCTCTAGTACTGGTAAAATTTCCACTTGTTAAACGGTTTGCCTACTCGAGGATGTGTTTTTAAGGGCACGGATAGAGCTTCCGACCCCCCTTAATTTCATTGACCCTCCACACGAAGTGAGGAAAATGAGTTAAAAGAAGTACTCTAGGCCACTAGGCCAAAGGTTGCCTTTATCCATAAAGTTATCCTTATCCATAAAATAATGCAACCGCCACTAGGCCAAAGGGATGTGTCCCTTCATGGAATTAGAATATCGGTTCGGTCGGTCTAATAATAAACCAGTTGGTCGGTCCAACCCAAAACTGATTTGACTTGATTAGTCCGGTTCAACCAAATTTCCAACATTCTTTGCCTTGGAAGCTCGAGGAACAAGCCCGGACTTGAAGACAGATCATCTGAAGATTCTTACTGCAGTCTCTCTCTTCTATATGGTGTAACTTCCCTTCACTTAGGTTTTGAGGAACCCTAGTTATGTTTGTTTGATTGGATGATTGTATGAGTACTCCTACTTGATAATCTTGATTCATATTCAATCTATGCATGTTTTTCATGATTCAATTTTGATTTAGTCGAGATTATTGATTCTACTTTGATCCTATGAGAGCGAATACCTGATTAGGTCAATAGAGCACCATAAAGTGATAGTATTGGATCGATTTCTTTAGTCGAGGGTTGATACACTGCTTTGTATAGATTGATAACCTCATTCGATAGAGGGAATCTAGTTCAGAATGCCTTGATCGGTTGTTCTAGAGCAGGATACGTCCCTGTAGGCAATTGACAAAAGAGGGCCTTGTTCCTTTAGTCGAGACTCAAGGTCTAGTTAAGGATTCTCCGCATTGTGAATGAAAGTGAAACAGGTTAGAGACCATCAATCATTAATCTGGCTAGTGGCTAGGGAGAATCATACCTAAGTGAGTTCCCAACCTGTAATTAGATTAACTTAAACTGTAGTTTGCTAGAGTAGTTTTAGTTCTTCCATCTTAATCTGGTTTGCTAGATAATGAACTGAAGTTGAGTAATAGTAACTCTAGAGATCCATTGATTCGATATTTATTACTTGAGCCACTATACTGCAGTCCCTTTCATTGGTTACACTTGGTCATTGTTAGGAGTTGTGTCATAGCGAGTCAATAACTATATGAAGATGGGTTTTTAACAATTTTTGTTATTTTCTTTCCGTGCTCTGAGGCTTTGAGGATTCAATGTAGCACTATTGGCTACCTTCCCGACTTTGGATAGCTTCTGGTACTATTCACACCAAAATAAATTTATTAAATATCACACGTAATATTTATGAATAATTGGGTAGCTTAAGTAGTTGACCCATATATGGACCCGATGGTCCAAATTGGATGGTTGGGTCATCCAAGATGGTAGTAGCTTGTCATAAGGTAGTCATCCAAGATGGTGGTTGTACCAACTACAACACTGTTACTATCCATCCGTCATAATGGATACCAATCCAAACCCTATTATGGATGGTAGTGTCCAACATCATGGATATCATCCAAATCCTATTATTGATGGTAGTATCCAACATCATGGATACCATCCAAATCCTATTATTGATGGTAGTGTCCAACAACCTGGATACCATCCAAACCCTATGATGGATGGTACCATCCCAAGCATCATGGATATCATCCAAATGACTAATTGGATAGTGACCATCCCCATATAGTGGACACCATCCAAACTCTAAGTGGATGGTGACCATCCCATACCATGGTTACCATCCCAACCCTATGGTAGACCGTACCATCCCAAATATCATGGACACCATCCAAAGGACTAGGGGTGTTCAAACGGTTTGGTTACCATGGTAACCGTTTTAACCGGTACTATTTGGATAATTTGGTTTGGTTAATTTGGATAATTGGTTTGGTTTGGTTAAAGTTTTTAGCTTGTTTGGTTTAGGTGGTTTGGTTTGGTTCCAGACACTCCTAACCAGTCAAACCAAATTAACCAGTTAAGTAATTAGTCATATATCTAACATATATTATATACACATACTTAATACTTTGCATAACCACTCAAGAGTTAACGTTCATCCCTTTTAGACTCATAAAATATAAAAGCTCAATATTGCTCATATAGTGTATATTTGTATATGTAAAATGTAGACCACAACATATGGACGCCTAATTTAGATAAATTTCATACATTATGATGGATGAAAACTTGAAAGGAATGTAATTTCCAGCCTATGATAATTGCTAAGAGACTAAGTCAATTTACACAAACACAACAATTCATTAACCCATACCATTGTCATAAATTTTGGTTAGGTGAATACTTCTATACTAATCGTAAGATAATTGTCTTAGTTGCATATATTTTTGTTAAGGGTCAACTATAACTACGTGTTGGTTGTTATGTTTTATTAATTATATAAATTGCGAATTGTTGCATTAACCGGAAAATTGTCATCGTCAATGATAATGTGATTTTATATTGGTTAATCTGGTTAACCAATTAACCAAACCAATTAAACTTTAGTTTGGTTAATTTGGTTGTTTTATTAGTTTGGACGGTTTGGTTATGATATTGTATTCCATGGTTAATGGAATTTAGCCTTATTTGGTTTGGTTATAACCATGGTAACCATTTGAACACCCCTACAAAGGACTGATTGGATGGTGACCATCCCATATCATGGATACCATCCAAAGTACTAGCTAGATGGTACCATCCATGTTGAAATAGGATCATGTGGTGATGTGTCTAGAGACTTCTTGGCGACAACTAACTTGCGTAGAGGCTAAGCAGAGCTACTTTTCGGGAGAAGGAGAGAGAGAGAGAGAGAGAGAGCAGTTGGACAAATCCTGGCAACAAAATTTGAAGCAAGATCCTGGAGCAAGGCAAACAATCACAACTCAACACAAAGACAACTTGTCTCAACTGTCCCTTTTTTTTCTTTTTCTCTGTAGTTTGCGGAGCTCTCCTCCATGAAGGATCCTTCATAGTAGTAGTCTTAGTTGTAGTCGCGGAGCTGTCAATGAATCTCTATAGGAGTAGTGTAAGATTCCCTATACACCAAACACCCTCGTTCGAACAGTGTTTGAAGAGTTGTGGATCGTAGTAACAATCATCATCTTCATGAGAAGTCGGGAGCAACCCAACCAATCGTTTTTCCACCTGAAACAAATCGGCACACCTGGTGGGACACGTGTGTTTGGTATGGCTTCGCGATAGAGGCATCAAGAAGTTGATCTTCCACAAGGTTTTGCGGAGGAGGAGCAGTTGGTCAATGTTGAAATTGACCAAGTTGGATAGACTTCAGACAACGCTATTGGATCAATGGTGTCAGTCTTGGAGTCAAATGCAAATCCAGGCGAAGCAATACTTCTTTCCGCCAAATAATGGAGGAGATTCATCAAATGGTGGTTGGGCTCTATAGAATCGACCAACATGTAAATCTTCACATGGCCTCTATATATAAGCATTTAGATCATCTCGAACAAAGCTTTGATAAAGCCTATGATAGGATGATTGATAGATATGTTTGTGATTCTGAAATTTCAAACTATGAAATTATGCATGATGCATCCATTGTACCAGAAAAAATCTTTTTGTTGAGCAACAAAGATTTGTTGAATGAAAAAACTGAAACAATAAGCACTAACCAAGTTCGTGGTTTAAGAAGTCAACCATAATTGGTTGATGAGAAAGTTGGGTGTCTGGCCATTTCGATGGACAATCCACGATGTCATGGTAAAAGTGCTGGTGAATCCAACTTATCGTGCTTGACTGGTAAAAATGTTAAAGAAGCCACATCTATCAATGATAAAAATGGTCGTGGATTAGATAATGTCAATAAGGAGTCATTCCCAATTTTTGCACCAACGCTGTTGCCAGAAGCAAGCAATTCAAATGTGTCCTTTCCAATGGACATCATTGCTTGTAAAGGTGCAAAAAAGAGATATTGCTTACGGAAGCCATTGCAAGGAAGTATATGTAAACATGCTTCTAGAAAAATCAAAAGTGAAAAATATGTTAAGCAACTAATTTGTGAGTTCATTGAAAAGGAAAAGCACAAAGGAGAGCTTGACAATAATGGTCAAGTTAAGCTGTTAGGGAGACATGCCATCACATTTCTTGGCAAGCCGAGACAAAAGCAATATTCTAGGTGTAAGAATATTTTATCACATCCCATCAAGTCAGGAGATGTTGCAACAATGGTGACTCACTCCTAGTGTCACTCTAGAAGTTGGCCAAGTGTAACCACTTCCTAAAACGTAGTATAGCGGGTTTGGGTTTTAATGTCAACCCGGGTCCTAGATTTGATGACTACTCGGTGAATTCTTGTTATCTAGCAATGAAACTTTAGTGCAAGTCCAAATTAACAAACAAACAAAGCAAGTTAAACGGTTGTTTCAAGTCGAGAGAGGTCACCCGGATATGGTTCCCCCTAGACTGCAATTAAGCCGGATTGCAATTTACCAAGTTCATTTTCCATGAAAGTTATACTGCGGAAGGTTCTTAAACAGTCTGAAGTCTCGACTAAAGGTCTTCAGACCATCTCAATCTGAGTCTCCAGCGGGCGACTAACCTCCACCGGAGTAAACAGATTGAGGCCCTAACGAACCAAACCTCCACTACCGAATTGAATTCGCTACAGAATAGCGAATAGGCTCCTCGACTAAAGTCACCAGTTCGCCACCTTCAATTAAGGGTGCTCTATCAACCTAGGCAGATATTATCATTCTAGGTTAAAGCAGAAACAACAGGAATTTGATCAGGATTCAAGTCATTCAATCATTCAAGCCTCAATCGAATATAATCAACTCATGAAATATGTACTTGGGTTCATACAATCAGACCTAACATACAAATCTAGGGTTCTCCATACCCAGATGAATGGGAAAACTACTCCATGGAGAGAGAAGCAAAAGCATATTCAGACGTAGAAATCATACCGTGAAGGATGAGTTTCTGCTCCTGGTTATCGATCGGCACTTCTCCAAGCTCAAGACGGGCTCCAATGGTGATGAAGATCAAGCTATGGCACTTGGGAACTCTAGTTCGTCACTTTCTCTCTCTAGGAATCGCTCTGTCTCTCTAAAACTCGGAACCCTTGATTTTTGGCCTTCTTTTCCTTTAAAACTGCTGCCTGTCGCGATACCCGGTCGAAATACCCGGTCGGGTATTTTGGGTCGTGACCGGGTATGACTGAAGCACACCGTTTTTGCTCAGGGAAAATCCCCGGTCTGGCCCAAGAATCCCCGACCGGGGGTTTTTGCCTCCTGCCCGGGCCCCCCTCTGTTTCTCACGGGTGCCAAAACAATAAATACCCGGTCGGGTATTTGAGCCCACGACCGGGTATTTCCCTCCTGCAGCACACTTCGACCCAACTTCGCTCCTTTTGACCCAAAACTCGTTTCCTCGCCTCGATTCCAACGCCGGGCCCTGAAATATGACATAAACACACAACCTCGCGTGAAATCGGCTTAAAACACGGGATTCAACCTCTCAAACGACTCAAGAATAGGGGTAAAAACATGTGTAATTATTGGTCTATCAAATGGTTACCAAAAACTCTTCCCAGTGTTGGGATGGTGACCACATGCCAAAATTCAAAGCCAAAAAAGTTGGCCTACCTCGTTGTGATCCTTTACGGGATAATTTGTCAAAGTCTCCAGCAAGAGAGAAAGTTAGTATCCCAAAGTTTGGACAAGGAGGCTTGTTACGTACCAACAAAGATTGATTGGGGGGCATGTCAGAAAACTTGACAAAAATTCAGCCTACATATGACTTGGTAAAGGTAAAAGCATGATAAGGAATAGACTGGGGGCATGTCACCAACCACAAAAGTTGGATGGGGGGGGGGGGGGGGGGGGGGGGGGGGCAGGTCATGTAGTCTAGAGTATGATCAATCCACTCATGGTTTGCATAAATTAAACATTGTATAAAATGATGGACAATGTTGTAAGATGTCAACCAAAAATGGTGGACATAGTGGCATGCATAAGAAGCCTCAATGTGCACCAACAAGATATGGTAAAGCAAATGATCAAAGGTGGTTGTGTGCTAAGTGTAGGAAGCAATAAGACTTTAGATTTTGGAAACAAAGACAAGTAATCCATATAGGTGGTCGTGGACATGTAAAGTCTAAGTACACATCCTCTCTAAGTAATGTGAAGAGTAGATGTGAACCACTTTGGGAGAAGTCAAGGCAAAGAGGTGTTCATGATTGCTAATCTAACCCAACATAATTGGGAATGCATGGTGTGCCTCTTAGAACAATTCACAACTATAGGGGTCAATGTCAACAACCAAATTTGCTGGTTGGGGTAACTCGAGTAGATAGACATGGGGCCATAAGCAAGGGTGCCAAAAATCATGTTGGGAAAATGCACTCTGGCATTAAGATAGATAATGTCATTCCAGTTGGTATACCTCCTTTGAAAGGAGGAAGTCACATGACACATGAATGACTTGTATGGTTTGATCAATGGAGTTGGCAATGGGTATATACCTTTGGCTCCTTAGTAACTATTAAGGGTTATGGCGAGTGGTGATGCATCACAACTCTTGTCATGAAAAAAAAACATAGATAAAATATAAACTAAATAAATAAAGTGGTGATCAAGCCATCCTAATTGGCTTTTGATGGTGTTGCTCAAATAAAAGGATACCATCATTGTAGGGATGGATGGTGATTGAGTTGGGTACTGTAGTATTGAGTAACCATCCATGATTGAGGGGAATAGTGTCCTTTTGAGGGATGATTACATGGTAAAAAGGGATACTATCCACGTTAGCTATGGATGGTGATTGATTTGATCAAGATCTTGGCTCTATATGGCGTGTGTGAGTGTTTGTGTGGGTGCATGTGTAACCTCAACAGATTAGCGACATAGGTTCTTGGCATGCAATTACATGGTGCCCATGACAAGAAGAGGACCCAAGTTGATGAAAAAGAGAGACAAAACTGGTCTGGGCACATAGAAAGTAGTAGCAACTGAGTTGGCCATGTACAATGGCCAGACAAATTGAAGAGAGTGTTTAAATCACTGGGGTTTGATGGCCAAAGAAATTTGGCCATGGTCACTGAAATGATCAAGTCCATAATAAGTCAATGCATGAAAATATTGCGGCAAGCATGAGCAAAATGGAGAAAGGGTTACCTCGGCATGGAGATATGAGACGGATGATGCTCTTGATAAGCATGGTACAACTTATTGGAGGTATGTTGGTATTTTTGAGTTGTGAATTATGAGGAATGGGAGCATCAATTTATAGGGAAGAAATTAGTTGTGTCCTTATAGTAGTGAGTTTCCTTTTGTTAGTAGGATATGGGTTAAGAAGATGTGTCCTACATGAACAAGAATTTGTACTCTTTATCAGAAAAGGAGAAAGTAGTACTAAGGCCACATTTTTTTGGCCTGGCTAATTAAGGATTAATTAATTTGCTTGGCTTTCTCATAGCCGAATAAAAAAAAATTGGTGTTTGGCTGAGTAAGAATTGGAAGTGACATAAATTACTGCCATGTGTGACTTGGCCATGAAGGAAGGGGACTCCTTATGTGATGGGGTGTCATGCAAGCCACTGTTTAATTCATGTGGTTTGGTACCTGAGCAGTTGTGGGGCATTTGTTTACACCAAAATAAATTTATTAAATATCACGTAGTATTTATGAATAATTAGGACACCTTAAGTAGTTGGCCCGTATATGGACCCGGTGGTCCGAATTGGATGGTTGGGCCACTGTCTGGCTGGTAGGAGCTTGTTGTTAGTCATCCAAGATGGTGATTGGACCAACTACAACACTGTTACCATCCATCCGTCATAATGGATACCAATTCAAACCCTATTATGGATGGAAGCGTTCATCATCATGGATACCATCCAAATCCTATTATGGATGGTAGTGTCCAACATCATTGATACCATCAAACCCTATGATGGATGGTACCATCCAAGATCAGGGATATCATCCCAAACATCATGGATACTATCCAAAGGACTAATTGGATAGTGATTATCCTCATATAGTTGACACCATCCAAACTCTCAGTGGATGGTGACCATCCCACATCATGGTTACCATCCCAACCATATGGTTGATGGTAACATCCCAAATATCATGGACACCATCCAAAGGACTAATTGGATGGTGATCAACCCATATCATGGATACCATCCAAAATACTAGATAGATGATACCATCCATGTTGAAATAGGATGATGTGGTGATGTGTCCAGAGACTTGGCGACAACTTACTTGCGTAGAGGCTAAGCGGAGCTACTTTTCGGTAGAAGGAGAGAGAGGGAGAGAGCAGTTGGACAAATCCTGAAACAAAACTTAAAGCAAGATCCTGGAGCAAGGCAGACAATCACGACTCAACATAAAGACAATTTGTCTCAACTGTCCCTTTTTTCTTTTCTCTGTAGTTTGAGGAGCTCTCCTCCATGAAAGATCCTCCATAGTAGTAGTCTTAGTTGTAGTCGCGGAGCTTCGAAGAATATCCATAGGAGTAGTGTAAAGTAACGTAGATTCCCCATACACCAAACACCCTCGTTCGAACAGTATTTGAAGAGGTGTGGACCGTAGTAACAATCGTCATCTTCATAAGAAGTCAGGAGCAACCCAACCAAACTGTTTTTCCACTTGAAACAGGTACTGATCTGACCATGGAAGACTTCAGCAAAATAAACAGTAATTGAGTTTCGAGAAGAAAAAAAATCGGCCATCGTCTGCCTCCAACCCATAAACACAACTACACAAGGTTAAGAGCCTTGCCTTCTACTGACTGAGCTAGACCGGGTGTTCATGCTAATTTAAACGTTAGAAAATTTAACAGATCCCGGTCACATCGTCTACACTTCAACAGTTAATATTCCGTTCCTATGCATAGTCAAATGAAACAGGAAAGAAACTCAATGCGATGCATCCGCTTGTGCTTCTGGGATTGAAGCTAAAAATGCCGGCACCGACTTGTACGATTCATGTATTCTGCTCAACGTTGGGTACTGAGTCTGCAAACACCAAGACAACCACATGACTACCTTCGTGGGAGGCTGCTCGGAAATTGAAATCAGGTACATACATCAAGGTTTAGAGTAGCTTTTCATCACTACACAGGCTAGCTGGTTTAGTTCCTACCCAAGAAGCTGCGGACCGGGATCAGTCCAGTAGAACAGATAGTCGAATAGTAAAAATTATCATGATAATCTACTTACAATCTTCACTCCAAAAAAAATCTACTTACAATGTCAATTTTGAATCGGGATACCGCTACTGCAATCTGGGGTGCTAAAAACACATCAGCCTGCCAAGAGACACGAAATTATGGCTCATTATTACTCAAGACATACAAGAAGTCACAGGTACATATAGAAAAGCCTAAACTAAAGATATCGAAAAGGATTCAGGAGATACTACCAGGTAAAGTGAATTTCCAGTTGCATATTGACCAGCAAAGCCTTTCAGTAACTTCTCAAGAGCTGTCATGAGTCATTCAACAGGTTGATGCACCTTTTTCTTTTCCCTTGCTCAAGATGAAACATTTAAATTGAAGAGTTATACCTACCAAGTAAACCCTTTTCTATATGAGTCTTAGCCCACAACAACCGTTCTTCTGGACCAAATTTGTCTTCTATGTACTTCTGAAAAAAGATCAAGATTAGGATGGTTGAGAGATATACATTGATGAAGAGCCTACAGTTTTCCAGCTGAGAAATGATGGCTGCTAAAAAGGGATACCAGTAGTGATTGCATATGAAGAGGCTGTATGCTTGAGGTGACAACACCTGCAGCCTGCGGCAGCAATGATTAGTACTACATAGAAGGAAGAATCAGGTGATAAACCATATAACAATTAGCAACCAATTCAAAGTTCCTAATAAAAACTATGTAGCCTTGGAATGTTTCCACCACAGCCTATGATGCTACCAAACCAAATCGACTCTTCAAGTCCAAAGCAACCACAGAATCCAGGCCGAAAAGGGCATTCAATCCAGCACGCCTGATTCCTAATATAGAATCCTCTGAAATTAGGAGCTCTTAGCTCCAAATCAATAAATGTCATATGGGGAGATTTCCTCAATCTTGTTTGACAATGCGGTGCCCAATTGCATAGTGTCGTAGTGGGCACCGGGAATCAAATAGAACCCCCTTGAATTAAGGAGCACTGGAGCAGTTAGAGCTCGAGAATGTTGTATAACTTTCAGGTTGATCTCAACATTAACAACCAATTACCTGGAGGTTCAGAGCCCTCAGTTGAGGATCCTCTGGCAACAAGGTGTTCTGTGGATACTTATCCTCCAAATACTACAACAACGAAAGTGGAAATATAATCAAGTTCAAGGGTTCAGACATAGTTGCATATTCATTCACGATCTAGGATCTAGGACAAAAGCGAAGCGGGTCTTGTGATATACTGCCAATTGCTAACTGACCATCAATATTGCAAACGAGTCGGAGACAACCACGCCACCATCCACCAGAACCGGAACATAACCAAGAGGATTCAACCGCTGAAATTCTGCAAACCAATCATCTCAATTACATTGCCATGGAAGTCGAAATGATGAACAACTTTTCACTCAAAGTATTATTCCTTTCACCTGGGCTGAATTGCTCCCCTTTCACCAGATCCACTGCTCTGTACTCGTACGGAAGACCTGCCACAAGACCACAAACATGAGAAACCAACTTCCTTGTTCTAAGGGAACAGAGAAAAGGTCTCCGTCTTAGATTCGCTTCAACTATGTCAGCGTACCTAACCTTTGAGTTTCAGTGCAAAGCGAACTCGCCATGAGCAGGAACTCTGCCAAAAAGAGTACAGAACGAGATTCGACAGTGGCCAAGTTCCGGCAGCCTTCTGCTCCTGGTTATGCATCTTTCTGTTGGCTTCCATGGATGGATTGCGTATCGGTGTGATTGAGCTCAGAGCGGGAAATTAAAGGAAAGCAGAAGGCTGGAGGAAATCAGGCAGCAACTATCGAGATTCTGGCAGCTAAAGCAGCTGTTTTGTCTGAATCTGCCACGTGGCCTCATTGATGGACCATGAATAATCCAAATTATTTCCTAAACTATACATCTTCCGTGGATTACTGTACCAGACCGGTGTGTATAACTGCACCCTTGGTTAGAACCATTGATTTAGAAAATTCAAATATAAATGACTAAATGTGGACAATTAATTTTTTTTTTCTTAATTGGTTCATATATTTTTCGTTTTAATTCGAATTTTAATTTTTTGCACAGATGGAACGAGTTCGTTGTGCTTAACAAAATGAAATCCATTTTCAATATTTTTTGAGGAAAAAAATATTTCTTGCCTCCCGTTACCAACTGCATACCATATGATATATTCTTTGTTTTTAAGTCGTTTTTGAAAATTTTTGCACAGAATAAACGAGATCATCATGATCTATTGAATCTAATTTATGGGTGAGCAAAATACAGGACCAAAAAATACCACACAATACCACCATGCTACGGCATGGTACCTTGTTGTACACAATATTAAAAGTCGTAAATGACAGTTAGTATACTCTTATTATCATGTATTTAATCATCCTACAGTCTTGGTATATTCATACCACCATGGTACTCTTTTCATATCATATGATATGCTCTTATTTCAATGCCAGTCAATACCATATGCAATGGCGGACCCAAAATTTAATCAAGGGTATTCAACTATAAATCAAAATTCGTAAGGGTTGTCAAATAATCTCAAATTCATATACTACCATTACGGAAATAACATTTCACATAGGAATGGCAATGGGGCAGGTCCGGGGCGGGTTTCTTGGTATCCGGACCCGCCACGTGGCAAGTCGGGTAATTTATCATGGGTCGCAGGTTGGGGCAGGTCGACCCAATGGGTATGCAATGTATATGAAAAACATTAGAAATATTCGTTATTTTTATTATAAGACAAAGAAAACAAACAATATTATGATAATTGCAGTTAAATTATTAGAGAAATTGAGATTTTCACTAATTTACAACTTTATTATAGCTAAATTATCATGTAATTAATAAAAAATTCTAAGTAATTTAACTAAGATTACATGTAATTTAGGCGAGAACGGGTCGAGAATGGGGCGGGTTAGGGCAGTTCGGGTCGATGAGAGTACCCATGCACGCCCTAAAACAGGTCAAACAGGTCCGGTAAAACGGGTCAGGTCAAAATTGCCATCCCTAATTTCACACACATAATTTGTCCAAAATCTTAATTTAAGGGTTTTTAATTGACTACCCATCCATGAACTTGGGTCCACCCCTAACCATATGGTATAGACTGGTAAAAATGATTTAATTTCTTTTGTTCCAAAAATATATAAAAGTGGATATCATTTTGAAGAGCACAATTAATCTGATCTAATTGTGCAAAAAAAATCCGACTTAAAACGAGTGAGAAATCGTCCGTTAAAGATTAGGGGGAATTAAAGGCTTTCTGGGAGAGAAAAGGGGCGTTGATGTGGCTTTTTTTTTGAAAGTTGAATGGTCGTTCCATTAATACGAAACACGGTGTACAAAGTTTTTACAACAATGAAAAGAAGGAAAATAACCATCTGAAAACAAGATTGAAAGACAAATGGTGGCCCAACAAGGCCCAAAGTAACGAAGCCCACACCCTGGTCCAAAAACAAATGGACAGCCCACCACATTCAACCCTACTTCAGCTGGCCCAATCACTAAAAGATGGCCACCAATTGCATCCTCCACCGCCAACCAAGCCGTAAACAAACTTCAGCCTTCACTTGGACACCCGCTGTCGTTGGGGAATGAAGGGGACAACCGATAAAGTCACCAGGAACCAACAGCCCACCAGACCGACGAGTCATCGGCGAAAGGAAGAAAGAGAGAACCATCGGCGGGGAGAACCATTCCCAGAGAGCTCTGAGCTCCACCTGCACAGCAAGAAGAACTAGAGAAACAATCTTGGGCCATGGACAAATGAAAGGCGACCGAATCGTCACGATCTGAGCAATCGACTAGAACCCATCCTCAAGAGTGACCTCCTTGCTCACAAGCTCTCTGAATCATCATCCAAGACAATAAAGGTCCATGCATCTCTGAATCATCCTCATTTATGGATGAAGCATGTGGAGGTAGATGGGTGACCAGAGAGGAGCAAGCCAACCGATCAAGATCGGTCCCCTCAAACACCTACCAAGGACATCCACACAAATCTGGGATTTGGTGAGGAACAAAAGCACCTCCACAAGAAGACAGGAGAAACATCATCACTAGGATGGAGAAAACATGAAAGGAGAAGAAGAGGAAACAAGTCCAGATCCACAAAATCAAAAACCAAAACCCACAAAGATGAAATCAGCAAAGAAAAGGGGCAAAAAGCAAACAAATAAATAAGAAAAGGAAAGGAAAAACGTGAACATGATGGAATCACTAGAAAAGCAGAAGGAAAAAAAAAGTGGTTGGGCCACCGCCGGTCAGCAGACGGAGCCGGTGGCAGCCCTTTAGAGAAGGGTGAAGGAGCTTTTTGTTAGAAAGAAGGTAAAGCAAATAATTTCAAAATAAAGTAGGAGAGAGAGAGAGAGTGGAGCCGATTCCTTACTAACTCCCTTATCATCCCTGATGTGGCGGATGGTGATTCTTTTACTGAATAGCTATTTACCGCCCGCATATTTACTATTTTCCCCCACAATTTTGACAAAAAAGTCTAATTTGCCCTTAAACTTTTAGAAACCAAAGTTGAATTGGTCACACCCTCTCCGCCATTGTGGAGTGGAACCACCGGTCAAGTTTTGCTGCCACCGCCCTAGAGATTGACACTCGTCGACGGTCTCGCCAATCCTCTCCTGCCGTCTTCAGCAAAAAACTAGTTTCGCTAAAGTAATTTACTTCAAAATTGTAGGTGACAATTAGTAATTCTTCGGCCTGCAAATATCAACTCTCATTTTCAATGGTTGTTGGATGGCATTTGGTGCTAGATATAACATTCTAGCTCTTATTGCAGATAGTCTAACAGCATCAGCATTGTAAGGAGAACGGCTAATGAAGCCGCCGATATCAAGAATGGGATGGGATGCTAACCATCCAATAAGTTAGCATGGTGATAACCGCTACCATCTCCGTTACTTTCTATTCTTGTCAATCAAAGGGTGCTTTTGCTGAAGGGGCAATTTGGGTAAGCATGCATGTAATTCCAACCTAACAAACGTGTGCACTTTTTTGGGATAAATCCAGAAATTGCTCCGTCTTTTCAGTTAATTACCATTTTTCCCTCTTTCTCTCTCTCTCTCTCTCTCTCTCTCTCTCTCTCTCAACAATTCGTAGATAATTTGTTCAGTCTCCATCCTCGTTATCTTCACCCTCCTCGTCGTCGTACCCGTCATCGACCTCCCTCTTTTATCTCGTCGTCTGCGTTGTCGTCATTTGTAGCGGCGGCGCCTAATCGGTTCGCCTGTTCGGTCGTCGTTTGCAACGGCGTCATCTACTATGTTCTCCTGCGCAGCCGTCGTCTCCTTCGTCGCCCTCACAATCGCTCGCCCCCACCCTCTGATTCGGGCCCAAATGTACTCATTTTACCCCTCATTTCTTATTCATTTAGCTTAGTATTTCATCGCTCCTCAACATAATTCACGCTTGGTTATGCTTGTTTTGATACATTTCAGGTCCTAGCTCGTGTGGAAGGGTCGAGGTCGAATGTTGGGATAATTGGAGGTCAAAAAGTGCAAAATCCAAAGAAAAGTCCGAAGACAATTGCCTCGTAACAGTGAAGTGAAGGTGTCCCAGGAAACAACCGCAGTTCACGGCCGGACAAGGCAGTTCACGGTCTCCTAGGACTGTGAACTTCGACCACAAACCGTGAACATCGAGGCGTCCAGCGAAGTTCCTGAAGTTACTGACGACAAGGCAGTTCACGGTCTCTAAGACCGTGAACTGTGGCCATTGACAGTGAACCCAGGAAGCAACGCGGTGCGTTTTGGAGAACACTGAGTTCACAGATGCGTTTAGGTGTTCACGACCGTGAACTGGTCAATGCGTCCGGGAACTAATCACTTTCGGGCAAATATGAAGACAGCAGCGAGGAGACAAAGGGGAGAGCTGGTTTTTGGAGAAGAAACACTTTCTTTCTCTAGGGTTTCAACCTAAAACACCAAAGGGAGTTCTAGTGAGAAAGGGAGAGTGCTAGAGTGATCTTGGAGCATCACTGGAGGCTTGGGTGGAGATTCAAGCCTATAAGAAGAAGAAGATCTTGAGCTCAAATTTGTAATCCCTCTCTCTCTCTCTCTCTCTCTGTCTAGAAACTCACTATTTTCTCTTGGGTGTTGTAGATCCCTAACTAATACTTTGTAATTACTTGTTTAGATTGAATGATTGTCATTGAGTATTGTTTAATTTAATGATTGAGGCATTATTCATGTTGATTGTGCATGCTCTTGCTTAGCAATCTAAGGGTTGTGCATATTTTGTGCTTAGCATTCTTAGGTTTGTGCATGTTGGTGCTTAGCAACCTAAGGACAGTGCATAATTGTGCTTAGTATCCTTAGATTTGTGCATTCAAAACTTAAATTGCAACTGGAAAATTTTCATAAATAAAATATTGAAAACACGCTCTTGTAGTTCAAAGCAACGCCCTAACACATAGGCAAACTCAATACTTAAAATCTCAAAATGATCTTCAGTCTATACTCATAATCATAGAACGTAATAACTAACTAGTCTCAACTACTGCTGCTACTTATTGGAAACTCTGACTCGACGTCCTCCACGACGCTCGAACCGAATTCGAATCGAATTATAATTCGATTCAGTCGGTTCAAACCGAATTATAATTCGGTTCGGTTCACTTTTTCATACAAAATCGAATTTGTGAGGTTAGCTTGTATCTTCTCTCTTTTATATTATATTATTTTTTTACCTCTAATGTAAACAAAAAAAATATGCAATTATATGCATCATCAATGATAAAATCAAATATTTGAACACATAAGTCATAAAACACTAACATGATTCAAATATTTAAGTCTCATAATAATTACAAACATAAAAATCAACCATTTGGAGCTTGCAATTATAGTAATTCGGTTATTCGGTTCGAAAATTCGGAAATTCGGTTCGGTCGAAAGGACCATGGATTCCGAAATATGCCCTTTTCCCTTCCGAATTCCAAACAGAATAATGTAACACCCTAACCCGGCCGGGTACTACTTTTACTAAAATGCACTTGAAAAATAAAATAATCAGATCTTAAATTGCAGCGGGAAAAATTTCATAAATAATATACTGAAAACACACTCTTGTAGTTCAAAGAAACGCCCTAACACATGGACAAACTCAATACTTAAAATCTGAAAATGATCTCCAGTCTATACTCATAATCATAAAACGTAATAACTAACTAGTCTCGACTACTGCTGCTGCTTATTGGAAACTCTAGCTCGACATCCTCCAAGACGCTCGTATCGTTCTCTTCTAGTTGGCTTCCCTATAACGGTTTCTCTGGATCTCGTTGCTCTCTAATTGCTCCCCTCGTCCTCTTCAAACTGGTGAGTGAGATGGGGTCAGTCTACGCCCTTATGTTTAACATCTTATTAATACTTGATCACTTTACTTAACTTAGTGGAAGTTGTTTTGTGCTTCCACTATTAAAAATGTTAACTCTTAAAACTGTATTCTTAAAGCTCAAATCTCCACTTAAATTCTTGACTGACACGGGAATCCCTCACTAGCTAGTCCGGTTGCCAACTCATACGTATGAGAAGCCCTCAAGGCTTTCCTTAAACTTAAACTTATCGTGTAAAGCTCTTCTTCCATGATTCTCAAGAGCATAACTGCTGCTCTTCTTAAAATATCTCAAGAGCATAACTGTTGCTCATCTTAAAAGTCTCAAGAGCATAATCGTTGCTCTATCTCAAAATCTCAAATGGCAACGGACTGGCGCTAGTGACTAAAACTCCTAAAACGGTTTCACCTTCTTAAAAGTGAAGTACTTCTTAAAAGAAAACGTGTTCTTAAACTTCAAGTTACTTATAAATAAAACACGCATTATAATATGTATAACTGGAAGCATAAATCACACGCAATCACATGCATCGAATAATCACACAAAGGCAAGTATGGCACATAGAAGTCAATCTCAAAAACTGAAATACAGTAAGGTGTAGAATTTACCCTCTTTAAACTCACCTCGAAAAGATGACTCTTCTTAATTGCCGGTTGATCCACATCCTTTTCCGAGATCGCACAGTAAACTTCCTTGTGTTTCCCCATCCTTTCGCATTTCCCCCTATTACGTATTTAGGCATAACTTAATCCACTTTTCTCTATGCGTAACTAATCAAACGGCCTCCAATTTGGTTGATTCAAATTTCAAACACCTTGTAGTTCAAAGCAACGCCCTTAGACATGGGCAAGCTCAATACTTAAAATCTCAAAATGATCTCCAGTCTATACTCATAATCATAAAACGTAATAACTAACTAGTCTCAACTACTGCTGCTGCTTATTGGAAACTCTGACTCGACGTCATCGAAGACTCTCCTATCGTTCTCCTCTAGTTGGCTTCCCTCGAACGGTTTCTCTGGATCTCGTTGCTCTCTAACTACTCCCACTCGTCCTCTTCAAGCTGGAGAGTGAGATGGGGTCAGTCTACGCTCTTACGTTTAACATCTTATTAATACTTGATCACTTTGCTTAACTTAGTGGAAGTTGTTTTGTGCTTCCACTATTAAATCTTAACTCTTAAAACTGTATTCTTAAAGCTCAAATCTCCACTTAAATTCTTGACTGACACGGGGATCTCTCACTAGCTAGTCCGGTTGCCAACTCATACGTATGAGAAGGTTTTTTTTATTTTCGACGGTGATCCCTCACTCGCTAGTCCGAGTGAGTTGGCAACACGGGGATCCCTCACTGACACGGGTGTTTTTGATTTTCGGGTTTCGATTTTGCCGTAACCGAACCAGAAACCGTGAATAGATTTTTTGATTTCGGGTAACCAAAACCGAAAACTCTCTTATCACTTATCAGCTTCAAGTTCGGTTTTCAAAGGATCATGGGTTTCGTGTTTTCAGGTATTTTAAGTTCCAACCAACAATCCTATTCTTGATAAATAAATAAGTCGTCTGATCTGAACTTCACATCCTATATCGTGAAACGCAATGCATCAAACAACACCACCTAGCGACATGTGCGAGAAACGGCTCGCTGCTTAGGATATTTCTTACTTACACCCAAAGAATGACCCTCCCGATATCGGAAAAAATTCCAGAATACTCAAGTTATTAAAAAAAATTCCCTAAATACAGTACTTATAAACTTATTTCCCAAAGTACAGCAGTTTCAATATCACTGTCTTTGACGAAGACAGTGATTATAATCACTACTTTCGTATACAACGGAGAAGGTATCATCGCTTTCGTATACAACGGGGAAAGTATCACCGCTTTCGAAAACAACGGGGAAGGTATCACCGCTTTCGAAGACAACGGGGAAGGTATCACCGCCGCCGTCCAAAACGGTGATTGCCTCACCGTTGTTGTGCAAAAAGGTGATTACATCATCGTCGTCGACCAAAACGGTGATATTTGACCACGTTTTAGAGCCCTGGTAGGTGGAAAATTAGGTCACATCGACCTAGCTTTCACCGTCTTGGACAAAAGCGGTGATGTGTTCACCGCATTGTCCACTGCGGTGATTAGCTGGCATTTTTCCTTACAAAAACCGACCCCCACGTCCCTCCTGCTGCCTTACAGCAAAGTAGTACAAAAATTAGTGTTTTTCTGGTCGTTTTCTCAGCTGGTTTGGAGTTGGTTTACTGCTCAAGAAACTCATCGGGATTCAGTATGTTATAATTATGTATTGTTTACATGTTGATGTATTAGTAATTATATGTCTGTATTTAGTGAATTGCGGTTATTGACAAATATGTTATGAGATATTTAGATTAATTATGATATGATAGATGTTAGTTAGTTAGTTATGAATTTAGATGAATGCGTTTACTTTTCTCATGATAGATCAATTAGTTGCGTTTGTTTATGGGTTTGGATGATATTGTTTTTGTATCCCTAATGTACTAATTATATACTATACTTAATTATTATAAATTGCAGACATGGGTAAATTTAAGAAGTTTCGGCTTATTATTCAGTGGAATGGTGGGGTGACAAACTCGAACATTGGGATCGACTATGAAAATGGCGAATCCACTATGCTAAAAATTGAGTCGAGATTCTCGTGGCAAGAACTCCATGAAATTTGTGCAGAAAGGACTTGTACGGGCGGGCAACGGAGAGTTGGTCAAATTACTTACCGGTATCCAAACATGAGTGCCTCAGCATGTGCAATCTCGTCCTCTCTAGATAGGGCGCCAGTCGAGCATGCCAACGGAGCAATCGACATGTCCCTCGATGACTGATGGGAATAAGTGATTTCTACAAAACAAAAAACACAATGTTGTTAGTCAATAGAAAGCAAAATAAAAACTTTTAAACTAATGAAATAATGTTAGTGTCTACCGGATTATTATTCCAAATTGCACGGGAGCGATGTTGATCTTTGCCCGGTTAAATACCTTCGATCCCTTGGGCCAGGATCGATATACAATCGAGGGTAGGGATGGCAACAAAACCCGAACCCACGGGTACCCACCCGACCCAACCCGGTCAACGCGAATAAAATCCGTGTTGACGGGTTTTGGGCCGGGTTTGGGTTTAAACCCGTTCACTATTCATCGGGTTGGGTTTGGGTTTAGGTAAACCCTACCCGTGGGTAACCGCCCACACCTATATAATTAATTTTCTCGGTATATTTGATATTCTAAGCAACTAATCTTATTTATGAGACATGTCTAATTTTTTCTTTCTAATTGTGAGTAGAATTAAGTTGATGTTATCGAGTAGAGAGTGAAAAAACTTAATTGAAAGGAAGAAGCTTTCAATTAATCATGTTATTTATGGATAATTTGTGACTTGCTTCAATTTTCTTGAGTTTTCTAAATTGGTGTTGAAAATTTTGTATAGTTAATTTGTGATTTTCTTGAATTTTCTAGAATGGTGTTTTATATATGGATAATTTGTATTGAGAGATTGATATTTGACTTTAATTTTGATAGAAACTTGTTATTGTAAACTTTTACGACAAAAACCCGTGGGTACCCATGAACCCGCGGATACCTAGCGGGTTGGGTTGGGTTTGAGTTTTTCAAACCCAATGGGTTTTACCCCAGGTTTTTTTCAAGGATAAACCCATAAGTTTGGGATTGGGTTTGGCAAAACCCGACCCAACCCGACCCATTGCCATCCCTAATCGAGGGTCGTATATCTCAGCACCCATCTATAAAAAAATAAGAAATCAAATCAATTTATATATCAGCACCCATTTAAAAAAAAAACACAAAAGAAAAAAAATAAATTTACGTACTCTCAGAGCCTCTTCGTCCATATTTTGCCGAAAAGCTAGAGAGAGTATCGACAAAACAAAAACTCTAGTAATTCTTTCTGATGCGGACGATCGGACTTAGCCGCAACCACAGAGCATACTTAGAACGAAACTAGAGTGAAGTAATGGAGGGAGAAAGAAGTATAAAATGGTGGTGTGGTTTGGAATGAGGGGAGGGGAGTGGTATTTATAGGGGGAAAGGGGAGTTGGAAATTTCAGGGCACCAATCACCGCGTTCCTTAAAAGCACTGAACTCACCGCGTTGAAGAAAAGCGGTGAAGGCTCGGATCGCTGACGTGGCGACATGTGAGGCGTCAGATCGTGGAGAAAAACTACAATCCGCGCCTCACCGCATCGGACGGTAGCGGTGAAGTGCGCGGACGACAAGGATCAGTGACATGGCGGGCGGGGCTATCACCGCTTTTGTCATTAACGGTGAAGTGTCCGCGCGCGTCCACGTCAGCGATCCGCGCCACTTCACCGTTTTTTACATCAACGGTCATTATAGCTTCACTGTTTCCCTTATCAACAGTTAATATATCCCCGCCTTTAACTAACGAGGGGACTGGTTCCCCATTTTTGTCTTCAACGGTGATAGCATTACTGTTTTTGTCCAAAGCGGGGATGCTATCACCGTTTTGGACCAAAACGGTATTCTAATCACGGTCTTCGTCATCGACAGTGATGTTGAAACTGCTATACTTTGGGAAATAATTTTATAAGTACGGTATTTAGAGATTTTTTTTTTTAATAATTAAAATATTCTGAAATTTTTTCCCCGATATCAACCCTATGAGAAGTGAAAGCTCACTACAACTTTAGCGCGCACAAAAAAAAAAAAAAAAAGAGCTTACTACAAACTTCAACCCTGTTCCACGTTCGCCTACCCGATTCAGTCCAAGGCAAAGCCTACAAATAAGATCTACCCAAGGGTCGGTTTTAAGAGTTAACCGACTGCCTGACAAAACATTCATTTGTCTGTACATGCACAACATTGGCAAATGAAATGACCGATGAGACTCTGCAATGCGAGAAGAAACAGCTCTTAATTCTTATCACTCTTCTTTAGGCTCCTTCAGCAGAAATCGTCTGGCTTCATCTTCAGGGACCTCACTGCTTCGTAAATACACCGATGAACCAGGAACCACAATGAAAAATGGAGAGTTACACTACTGAATAAAATAAAAAAAATACAGCCCAAAACTGAAAATAAGAAGACTGGAAAAAAGAACTAGGAACTACAACCTGTCGGGAGCTTCTGTCTTGGAAATCAACGTCAGGCCTTTGGATGCAAGATCCCTGTAGAAACGGGTGAAAATGTTGTGATCTCCTAGTTTATTCTCGTCAATACATTCTCTGAGAAAATCATTGTACTGTTTAGGTTCCTGTTCAGTGAGAAGAGTAGTTGAGTGAGAAGTTTTTAAACACTTGAATTGGGGCAGGCTTCCAGACTAGAAATGGTAATCATAATAAGCAATGTTATTATCAAGCAGCATTGTTTAGAAGATAACATAACTTCAGAGTTGTACCTGTTCCATGATACAACCTTTACGGAGTGCTTCTAAGCAATCCAATGCTGTGCTATTGTTAATCTCTTGATAGGGACGACTTAGCAGTAGCCCTGATATTTTGTTTTTCATCTTCTGGATTGCTTTCCCAATCCAATCTGGGCTATCTCTACGAGAGATCATTGCTTCAAAATCTTGCACAGGATTCGAGTCTCCAATTTCATCAACATGTGTGTCATCGGATGATCTGACAGCTAAAGCCTCTGGAGGAGCATCTAAGAGACCATCCTCCTCATCTGAGCCACCTGCTCTATTATCCTCCATTACACGTTGTGTTGATTTCTTCAGCTGTTGTAATAAGAACACAACTTTTTCACCCATGAAACGAAGAAGAAAAAAACTCATAATACAGGGGTTTATTAGCTGCGTAGGTGATGAAGACCTTTGGATTAACTTTCACTTCAAAGCTGCTACGGAACTTATCAAGAACATATTTGTTCTTAGCGACAAGCTCTGGATCAGGTTCAGTTATTCTTCTGAGGGTTCCATCAAGTGGAGGCACAGCTGCATCAGCTTCTCTTGATTTTAATTCTAGGAACCTATAGAACCGCTGGCGGCCCAAAGATATGAAACATAGAGAAAACAATACAATGTCAAGTCCAACAACAGAGGAGGCAGAAAACCCTACCGTTAGTTTCAGTTTATATAAAATTCCAATGATATCACAAATGGGGAGAGACACCTCAGATGTCTACCATAGGGCACATTAGTTTGAAAAGTTCATACAAAAAATAAGTTTCCAGGAACTGAGACTTCAGCTGACTCCGTTCGGACACCCCAGGGGTTATTTCAAAATCTTCTAGGACTGCAAGTTTTAGTCGTGCCAAGGACTCTGAGGTACTTAATACTCCTTCTATGGATCCTAAACTTCCTAACATTCTAAGCAAATGAAAGTCAATGGCAGCCATTATGCCTGAAACAACTGTGGAGATAACCCCTCTGCACGACTCAAGACCAAGACTCCTTACAACTCGCACCAATAGCGACACTGAACTGCCGGAGATTGATTGGAAAGGCTTGGATTTGGATTTCTACAAACTGGAGGACCAGCTTGTGGGGAAAGGAGAATAAATATAACCATGGCCTACAAGAAGATACAACTTCTGATGTAACCTTATGTTTAATTTGCCAAGACATTTCTTCTAGGTGTTCTTCACAAAAATTGCCTACCATCTGATCACTCACTTGATGGCGCAAAACATTTCCTTTATGAAGATGACAGAGGAAGACAAAATTAGAATAAGCAGAGCTCCCTCTGCTATATCAACACAGAAGTAAAACTTTTCAAGGCAACACACCATGCACATGACTGCTACGGGGTATTCTCCATAGATAAAGTAAAACAAGAAAAAGACCCATAGGATTGAGGTAACATTTCGTACGGTCAAGTTAGTAGCCAGTGTGTACAAGTTACTGGAATAGTACCTACCTCCAAAATAGGATTCGGTGTGAATTCAGGCAATAGAACATCGTCTTTACTGGATGGAGCTAGGTCAAGCATCTTCACAAGCTCGTCCGCTGCGTCCTGCTGTTTATCATTTGGCTGCCATGAAGCAGGAAAATTGCTAAAAGATGGGAACTGAAACTCACGTACATCCTCTATAAAAGGGAGTGTGTTGAAATAAAATGAATCCGCCTGCAAGCAAATAGGGGGAAAAAGCATTGAGAAATTGTTAAAAATTCTTGGAAACCTATGATATTGTCAGCAAAACATTAGCTAATTAATAACTGTATGGAAACTCCCTCAACCTCAGACAACAACACCTGTCTTGTTAGATGCCAAGACTTAAAGTGAGAAAACAAGACAGGAAGGAAGCATTTACCGTATTATCATTCTCTGATATGTTAGGTGTCAAAACACCCACCACAACATTTTGCTGTCCTTGCCTCCAAACACAACGCACAATGGCAACCTTATTCATTTCCTTCATTGCTCTTGCTAAGGCTGAAACAGCCAGAGTAGCCCTTGTGTCGCCAGACTCCGCAATGAAGATGTTGACATCTTTCACATAGTAGTGCCTTTGATTCACGCACAGGACAGTACAAGAGGATGGAGATGCAAGGTCTTGTTTCAGTTCATACCTTTGAAATTAGATAGACATACTCTAAAAATTTGAACAACTAAACCTTATAACTCACCTCCTCACATTTGAAGCATCAGCAAATCCCAGAAGCTTCACACCCTTCTCAGGTTTGAACTTGACAGCATCCCATTCAGCTGATGATATTGGAACCACTTGAGGTCCATAGCGGTAACCCTTAATTCGTTGTTCAGGTGGTACCACCTTATCAGGATCTTCAACACTCTGGTATTCATAATCTACTTTTACATCATGTGTCGCAAATTTATCAGTTGGAGGTGCTTTATCCGAATATTTCTTCAGAGTGGGAAACTTCTCCTCGGCAGTCTTTTTGTACACCCATACCTATACATTCATAATGGATTGTTAAAGAAACACAAAACATATATAAGAGAAGTAAATATTTAAGGAAGCTCTGTAAAGAGAAACCTCCTGAAAGTCTATGTGTGATCACATTATGGATGCACGTGAGAACAAGAAAGGACCTAGATCTCTTTGAAGCAGATTTCATATACTAACCTTCAAGAGATGCAGATATAGAAAAAGACAAAACTAAAATGGAACATTAACTTGTAAGTACAGGAAACTATATATCAAAATTCTCAACCATATGCATGAGTGAAAATCACAAATTAAACCATAAAAAAATCACAAATAATGCCAATGTTACCTTAATCTTCATCTTCAAGCTAATTTCAAGCTCGCCCCTGAATATGGTGACAGGACTTATATGTCGTGTTCTCAGGGCACCCATTAATGAACATGGATTCTGAACATGTACAATCTTTGCAGATGCTTTGATTGAGAAAAGATTCAGCAGATGATCATTCTCCTCCAGTGTTCTCTTATCCGCACCCACAGAGAGTAATCCCCTAACCACAATAGTTTCAAAAGATATCCCCTTTTCATCCATTTGTTTTGCAATCATGCTTACTTGATCTTCTTTAGTTCCTTCATCTGGATCTTTGACAGGACATTGTGCATTGGTTATAAGGCAGATACGTTTCCTTCCTTTAAATGAACCCTTGTAATCCTTTATCAACATATCAACACCAACGACAATAGCATCAAGATCTAAGAAGTTAAGGGAACTGGACATGGAAACAGTAACTGCACGAGGTTGGAGAGAAGGGAAAAAAGAAACAACACAAAGTGCAAGACTAGCATACTGATTGAACTGCAGCAATTACATTAATGCAGCCACACAAGATAAGAACTTCAATAAGGTTAGGCACCATAATGTCAAACCATTTGAGGATACAATCACCACGAACAGTTCCACGAGGAAGCTGCTGTACTCCATCAACCAAGTCTCCATCGACAACTTTCATGTTCCGTAAAACCGTAACATGCTCATATCCACCCACTTCGTTTGTCAGCTCATTGTCAGTTTCTGAAGATTTTTAAAGCAACACAACCAATTAAGGCTTCCCCATGTAAGCAGTGGATTAACTCCAAGTTAACAATGTTTCACAAACAGAAAAGTGAAGCAAACAGTGAGACGGGTAGTTATTCATCAATTCAGCTAAGTGTGTCTTCCAACCTTCCGTCCCAAACAGAACGAATCCAACTTCATCAGCCCTATGGTGAATCAACTGCCGAACAGAAAATGAAGGGCTTCGGATAAGGCAATTGATGAACAGATGAACAACTACTGCTACTATTAGGGCAATTATTGGAAAGGAGAACAGAAACCCCAAAACCCATGACGCGAAGGACATCAACGTTTTCAGTCAAGACAAGACAGTAAGGAATCACCTTCTTCTCAATAAGCATTGTGCAAAGCTTTTCAACCTCAGGAAGAACAGCATGCATAGACGGACCAACATCCAGTACCATCACCATTTTTTCCTGTTTCCACAATCCCAGAACGCCCATTACAAACAAGTCAAATCAAAGTCAGCATCAAGCAGCTCAACATCGTCGGTAGTCCAATTCTTAGGATTGGAATTTCCCAATCTGTCAAGTACGTTTCTTTCATATAACACCATTATCACTTGAACCATATACAAATCGAATGTCCGGAGTTTGGAACTAGAAACGAAATTAGCTTCTAAGCTGTAGCAGTTCACGGCAGAATCCAATGGGGGAAATGACTATATTCAATCAACGCTCACTGACTGATGTTGGAGATGAAATTGATCGTGTTTTGATATAGAACGCCATCTTTACTATTGTATATGATTCTTACTTACCTTGTTCCGAGCCATTAAAGCGAAAGAAGTGAGCAGGTAAGCTTGCAAGAGACGCTGGAAATGGTGGAGAAGAAAGAGCGCTTGTAGTTAGGTCTTTCGAGTTGCCAACGACGCGACACCACTACTCTTGAGTCTTGACCACTGATCAGAGTCTATTATTCTTCCCTTCCCGCCTCGCCTTCTCCGGGTTAAATGCACAGGTTCGTATAGCTTATGTTGCACGTTTATTATTTAATGATGGTTTGAAAGTTGCGATTGTTTTATTGAGAATGTCATTATGCATGTATTGTTTACAATGCATGGTTTTTTTTGTTTTTTAGCAGAAACAATACATGGATTGTTTCTATAATGTGACAGAAACTATCACTCATTTTGAGTGATTGTTATATCTCAACTTTTAGTTGTGATTGTTGAGATAGTTGAGTTGAGATTGTTTTGTCTCAGCTTTTAGCTGATGCGACATACACAATCACACATACCAAACGTTATATTCTACAATGCATCAAATTCGACAATACATGTATAATATTATACATGCATTCTCAACAATACATATATTTAACCATCGCAACTTCCAAACGACCCCCTTAATTTATTTTTATTGCAACTAAATCTGTTCAATTTGATTACACAATCATCATTTCCATCCCCAGACCTAATGGTAGGTATTAAAACAACAATTATATGTGTCATACGAACATTCCACATTAGCACAGTTGTTAAGTCATCTTCTTTTAAATGTGTGTCATGCTTTTTTTCTCTCTTTCTTTTATCCCACTAAAATTAAAAACGCTCTCTCATCTCTCTAACCCTTCCTCCTTCCTATATTTGTAAGGGGCTCTCGTCGGTGACTCCAGCTGTCGGCGGCGGCCCTCCCCTCTTTTGTGCGTTTTTTTTCTTTGTTGTTTCCTTTCAGAATGTCCAGCCTTTGTTTGGCATTTTCCTCCTCTTTGTGGTTGTTCCTCCCCCTCTATGGGTTGAGTTTTTGTTTCCTTCGATCTGATTTTTTCAAATCTGGAGATGACTCGTGCTTAGATGCAAAGGAGGTTGGTTTGTTTGCATCCATATTGTCTCTTCTTCCTCATGCCCTTCATCTACCTTCTTGCTTCACCTTCCAGATCTAGGTGTTTCGGAGATTAGTTGTTGGCTTGGACTCGGTTTGAAGATCTTGGAGACAGAAGTTCTTTCTCATGGCTCCATCATCAGTCGTCCTTTCGACTTCAAGGCTTTGGGCGCTCATGGTCGCCGAGGTTCAGAGGGAGTTTGGTCCGACGAGGGTTGGTTTGGAGGAGGCTATGATTTTTCTCCACTTTTCTCCGCTCGGGATGGTGGTTTCAGCTCCCTCCGTCGACACTTGCTCTGGCGGTGGAGGAGATGCGGCCAGAGGCTCCATCGGCGATGGTGGCCATTGAGAGGCATATGTTGCTAGGGTTTGAATGGAAATCTTTTGTTTGGGATCCTTTATTTGGCCCCCATTGGGTATCCAACCAGTTTTGGGGCTTTGGGCTCGAGATTTTTTTGTTTCCTTGGTTGTTGTATGTGTTGATCTTTCCTTTGGGTCTGGCCCATTTGCAATCTAATTGAACCATATTAAAAAAAAACCATCTTCTTCTCTTTTTCTCATTTCGGGAAAAGGATATCTTGTTTTGCTTGTTTGCTCAAGCCTATGTATGAAAGAGGGGATTCGAAGTGTTCGGCCCGCCCTCCCTTTTCCACCTTCATTTTATTCTTCCGCCCTTTTTCCACCGGTGGTAGCAATGACTACGAAGGCACGAGGAGAGGTAGCAGCTCCACCTTCAACCTTCGAAGCTACCAGAGGACACTGGCGCTGGATTCTCCGATCTGTTCTTCAACAAAAGGCTAGTGTCAGCGACTTTGACTTGCAGGGGGTATAAGTAGTCCTTCAATCTCTTTTATCCAAAAACACTACCTGTAATCGTAGAACGCGTATCTAACATTTGTCTCTCTCATAAACCAGTCTAGTGTCATCTTCTTATTCAATCATGAAAATGGTGAAAGTGGTCAAGGTTCATAAGTTGGGCAACCCTGAGGTAAGATGAATGGATCGGGATGATGTGCGTTATAGAGAGTAGTGTAGCACTACGAGGATTCTTAGTGTACAAGGGATTTTACATCTATTTCTTCTTGGTTGTATTGATATTGTTTACTATCTAGGTTATAAAATGCGTGTGGGACGCTCTCCCCAAATTTTAGACTAAAAAATGTTTGCAAAAATGTGTTCTAGTTTGAAAAATGAGTGTTCTCATGTGAACGACAATCGGGCATAGTGTTTGAGTTAAGTAGTCAAATGGCTTTTCTCTTGGTCGGGAGTGCCATTTAAGGATGTGCCATGAGACCCCATTCTCCTTACACCGCTCCTCCTCGCGCACTTGTATGAGAGGAGATAGTGTGCCTCTGCGCAAGTCAAGAGACCTCAGCTCTCGTTCGTACCTCACATGTATGGAAACCCGTCGATCGTTGAGATGGGAGTGCAGGATGGGAATTGATGCTTGAGAGAGAGGAATAACGTCAAACGCTTAACCTTTTACATTATTCCATCCTCTCAACCACCACTTTCCCCAAATGAGGCTTAGACACAAAGTCGATGTACTTTTTCTCTTAGCTGCGAGGGAGAGACGCCTTGTTTACAAAAATGCAAAAAATGGTGCCATTTTTGGCAATGCAAAATTGAGGCTCAAAGTTTGAATCCTCTATTGAAAAAAATAATAAGAGCGCCACCAATGAGACATTGCATTCTAATGTTTTCTTGAGAGTCCCCCGTGCACACCTAAAATGTATAAACCTCCTTAATTGGCATGATCCTCATCCGGGAGTTTGTGTTGTCACAAAGAGATGAAAGTAATGCTCACTCGACCCTGATTACTCTTGAAAGTGCAACTGAATAGATATAAGCAAGAAGATAAAGGTAAACTAACAACTCAGCGGTTTTCGACTAGTTACCGAGGTTCCCTAGCAATGACGCCAAAAAGATTGATCGTCCCCGTACGGGTCATTGTGAGTTGTTTGCACGGTCTAAATAACTACCCCATCCCGAGCCGAGTTTAACTCGAGATGGCGTTGTTATATAGCGGTGCCCAAAGTCGTATTCCACGGGTTTCGGTATCCTGGCTTACTTTCCGCTTTATTCTTATCTAACCGATCGATTTTTAGGTTGGCTTTGGAGGTTTTGATTGAATTACTAATAGAGGTTTAAACAGAGATAAAGGCAGGTTGACTAACTATGTTGGGTTTATTGATATGGTGCATGAGCTCTCTAATCTTGTGTGCCTTCGTCGTTATCCCACGCCTTCGAGTTCGCCCCCCCAAGACCCATTGTCACCTCAGTCAAGGTTCACGTATCTGGAGCATTACAAATTTGGCTCATTTCAATAGGTTCTACCTATCGTGCACACTAAAGATCGGATATGTACGCTTGCGAACCTCTAGAGCCTCGGCTAGGAAGGTGTTCTTGCATAAGAGATATGATCGCCTCGTCAACTACAAGACCCTAAAATCATTCATCTTCCCTTAATCTGCTAGTTGGCGCTACCTAGTCTAATCCTACAACTCCGACCTAGCGATGGCTCAGTTGCAGGCTAATATGGAAGAGTAGAGAGAATTACCCAAGCATAATCAAAGCATAAATGAAGCGATAAAATCACTCGACAAACATATCCAGTCATAAACCCTAACATAATTCGTACATCTACATTATAAACCTAATATAGGATTTGGGAGTTTTAACCCCTAGTACCTTAGAGGACTGCTCTATAAAGGAGGAAAAAAGAAACATTGCAAAAAATGAAGAAGACTTGATGGGGGAAATGACTCTTTCCCTCCTTCTCTTCTTCTCCTTCCTTCAACTTCTTTGTCTACTTTCTCTCTCAAAGAACCAGAAATTCCAACCAAAATCAGTCCTCTTGAATGAGGGAAAGGCTTCCCCTATTTATAGAGTTTCAGCAGACTTTCAGGTCTTGGACAAGTTCGCGACCATGCTTGGGAAGTTCGCGGGCGCGATTTAGAGCAGGGAGGTCGTAGTTTTCAAGTGTTGTCGTTCTGTTCTTCATACATGGGGAGATCGCAAGCCGACTTCACGGTTGCGATCCGTGAGTCGAGGCCGCAATCTTTCTTGCGGGCTGGGAATTCGAGGACAATGATTTGACTCGCGAAACTCTCTTTTTCCCCGAGCTGGCTTCGCCAAAGTTCACGGCTGGAACATCCAACAGCGCGGCCGCGAACTTTGCTCTGCAGGTAGGGTTGCAAATGAGCCGAGCCGAGTCGAGTTTTACCCCAGCTTGAGCTCGGCTCGTTAATAAACGAGTCGAGCTCGAGCTCAGCTCGTTTATTAACGAGTCGAGCTCGAGCTCGAGATAGCTTGTTTACTAAAATCTTAACTTTTAGTTAATAAATTTTAACTACTCCAAATCATGTTATTTCATAGTAACGAAGCAATTTATGATACATAATTTTTTTTAAGTAGAAAATAAGATATATTCGCTCACATACTCAACGTTTTAAACTTTATATATGGTGAGATATAAAATATAACAACCATATGAATTTAAAACATAAGATATAGATTGATTCGTCCATAAGTCGGTAATCGAGTTGGCTCTCTAGCCACATGTTGAGACATATCATGAGCTCTAAACGAGTCAGCTCACGAGTTTAGCTCAACAAGCCACCGAGTCGAGCTAGCTCGCGAACTTCACGAGCTGAAGAAAGCTTAGCTCATGTTCGGCTCGTTTATTAACGAGCCGAGTTTCGAACGAGCTTTTCTCGAGTCGAACACCAAGCCGCTCGCGAACAGCTCGGCTCATTTGCAGCCCTATCTGCAGGTATAATTGACGATGAATCTTTCCATAAGCAGATATAATGACCCAAAAAGAACCTATATATGACTCCTAAATAACACCAATTTAGGTGTTATTAGTACCAAAGTCCTATCCTAGGGGTATAAGTCTGTCAAGTCAGTGCCCTAAATTGTACAATGTGCATCATAATTTAAGGAAGGGAGCATGCAATTGATCTGAAACTCGTCGAAGAGAATTCCGTCCAACATTTGGTTGACGACGTTGAGTTGAGGGTACCAACTTGGCTGGAGTTTCGTTCTTCATCAAGATTGAGGTACTTCCGACTTCTATGCCAATAGAAAACGAATCAAGACTAGTTCAGCATGTCAGAGTATACGATTTTTCATTTCATTTTGGGCTAGGATCTGCTCATTTTCCCATTGTTCTGCCTGCCACCCATTGCAGACTGAGGCAGGAGCTGGAGAAGAAAGGATGGACTTCCGAAAATCCCCTCTCAATCGGACTTCCGAAAATCCCCTCTCAATCAGACTTCCAATCCCATCCCTTTGACGACTAGTGTGACATTGTAAAAACGCTTAACAACACAGCGCAAAAGCATGCCAAAAGCACAATCAAGGGCGTTACCCCTAAAACGTTAGTTCCTTGCAGTCTAAAGTTACAAACAAAGCCAGCGCATAAATTTCTTGATTGTTCACTTGTCCCATTTTGCATCATCTGTTTAGAAAGAGCTACACCAGCGTTCCATTCCATGATAACCCTACCTGACAAACATCACAGGATGGCCGTTCCATCAGTCTCAAGTCTCAACTCTTCTAAGACAGACCAGCGGTCTAGTCTCGTCTCAATGGCATAAACTCACGATGAACACCACCTGCATTGAGCACCACTATCTCTAGATTGTCCCCCTGCACAAGGAAAACAACATGTACAGGTTTAGATAATATCTTATGTGGTCACTTGCTACAAAGATGTCAGATGGCATTTACACATATATGATACTAAAAGCAGCATTTCCTAAAGATCAAAGCTTTACTAATTAGCAAATCAGAGTGTGATTTCTTATCCACATTTCCCAGCGCATGCATAACCGGAAAAACATCAAATAAAACAAACATTTTGGTAGAAACACAAACACGGGAACTTACAGTGTGGATGTCTCTCTCAGTTGCAGAAGCAAAACAAGTTTTCACCAAATCAATTGCTTCAGATTGTGAAAGTGGAGTCACAGCATCCTGGAAAACAATAGCTTATTGAGTCATGTACTTATAAGGGATTAACACGTGACCAGTGATATATAAGGGTACAATCTTTAGGGCTAGACCTGTGCAGGCAGCAAGAGAGGGCTTGGAGACTTCAACTGGTTGTCAAGGAAAGGCATGATAAGTACAGAACCAGAACCCTGGGCACTGTAACCTACCCTCTCATAGGAACCGACAGCATCGTACGTGTAAACACATCCCTTTCCTGAGGTGTCATAACGCGTGTATCATTTATAGCTGACATAACACTTCACAGTTTCAACAGCAATCCACCACCATATCAATTTACCTTCGTTGTCAAGGCCACCAAGAACATTAAAGGTGTAGTAAGGGAAGAAGCGTTTGTAGTACAGAGTGTTCGAGAGTAGTTGACCCATTGCAGGGCAGCTCATTTGTTTATTGTGTTGATGCTGATAGATCTGGCATTGAAATATGGGTTCAGCAAATAACCAAAATAATCCCATTTCGAGACTTCCCATTTGCTTATTTACAGAAAGCACGGAATTAGGGAAGTGAAAGTTAAACTATGTTATGAAGCCTACGCTCCCATGACCCAATACATTGAAACTAAAACTACTACTCTCACGGTTCAGTAACTCCATATAGACTGGATAACGGAAAGGAAAAAAATTAACTCACATTTCCTGAGCACTACAGAGCTTAGTGGCAAGAAAGCTAAACAAGTAACACTTAGATGATACTGCAACCATGAAATAGACAATTGTAATTGACAAATATATGTTCTGAGCCACTCACCAGGTGCCTGGCAGCCAGTAGTTTTTGCAAGGCCTTCATATCAGCTTGAAATCCTGAAGAAGCTAATATACATTTGTCCGCTCTGAAAGCAGAAGAAACTCACAGAAGTAAGGCACTACTAGAATTCCCGGGGACAAAGAAGAAGAAAAACTAGCTAAGCTGTTTCTAGGTGTAGTTAGACTCCCGCTAGAGCAATGATTTCTCATCTAAACGAAGTAGCATATCACAATATTCCCAACTAGCCACTTCAAACAGCCAAATTCGTAACCCTAGATGAGATTAGACTTTGGTTTCCAGTTTTACAAGTCTACATACAAAATGTATACACAACGCATATACTCACTTGTCGCAAAACAACAACCTCAACAAAGTATGATTCCCGCGCTCAATTGCGACCACTGCCCAAACCAGATGCCTGAATCGGACTAAGACCTTACCTTAGAACAGATTACTTTCTACTTGCAGCCTAAGCCAAAATTGCCCATAGCCCAGACGCACAAAACAATAGTAAAAAAACCTAGAGCATCTACACATTGCCAAACTCCAGCATCCGACACTTCCCAATTGGCACATCGAACCTACCATTCCTGAACAACAAGAAGCGGGGGATGACAAAATGAACGAAGGAACAAAAATAGAGCCTCGAACACGTACAGCTTGTAGATTTTGGAATGATCCCGGGTGAGAATATTGTAGCCGGTGGACATCCGAGTATCTGAAGCGATAACACAGTAATCGGCTCCAGCAATCGCAACACAGGATCTAACAAACATCCGCGGCATAAAGCATACCATTCAGCCAAAAAAATTATCGCCAAAGCTAAGAACAGATAGAAAAAATTGGGAAGTGAGAAAACAGTACCCGCCATTGTTATCGTAGGGAGAAAATCTCGACATGGTGTAATATTCAGAGGAAATCAAACAGAGCAGATATTGAGCAGGGACGGAATAGCGAGGAACAAAGAAGGTCTCAGCCGAAAAAGAGGATGCCCCTTATTTATTTCAGATCTCTCAACCTCTGTCTTTGGCTTCAAGAAAAGCCAAGCCGGAAAAGGCCATGGTACGACGCCGTGTCATATGGGCTGCGAAACACTGTCTGAGCCGGCATTATATTATATATTTATATATATATGCATTGTTATAAGAACCGAAACGAATCAACGGTTAGACCAGTAGAACCTTTAAACTAGTTACGATAGCGGCTCCGATCCACTGTTTGGACGATTATTGATGGTCCAAACTGTTTTTCACTGCTCAACATAAAACAGATGAACCACCAAGGTTTAACTGGTCCACTAGATCACTATTTTACCCATAATAATTAATTTTATATATGCTTCCTTGAAACCTCACGGTCCTTTTGAAACCAAAACTAGAATTAAAAAAACTAAAAACCGGTTACTCCGAAGCAACCCAAACCTCATTTAAAAGTCAGCTGACAATATTTAAGAATCTCGCACGAAAAGCCCTAACACCTGGGCAAATCACAATCCAAAATACTTTGAACAACTGAAACCATGAACCTCCAATACATACTCAACCATGAGACAAAATAATAAACTATTCTAACTCTGACTCCTCACGAGCTCCCTCATACCTAGTTCATGCTAGTACGACTGTTGGCCTCGCCCTGCCTCTTCTCAAAAACCAAGTCCAATAACCTTTCCTGAGTCTGGTGAGTGAGAAGGGGTAAGTCTCATCATTATTTCCTAAAGTCTTTGCCTAATCAAATCCTTACTAACAAATTATTAGAAATTACTTCCTCTTACGTGAAAGTCGTTATTGCTTTCATCATTAATACTTTAGTCCTTAATGGCTTATAGAAGATTCTCCACCTCTATTTTAACTTATCTACTTATTATTAGGGTCCACCACGTTATGTAGCACCGTCCAGTTCACGTCCGGTCAACTACTGCATTACGCATCATCGTCCAACAGTAAGTCGATCATCTACTACGTCCAGTAGTAATCCAACTACCCGGAGGTTCCCTTACTTTAATACCATCATCCATAAATCATCACACACATTCATCCATATGCATAAGCACAAAGCGTACCTCCACCTTCGGTAGGTGGTGGGACAGTGGCAGACTCAGAAAATTTACATAGGGGTGTCTTTTTTCAAAAAATAAAATAAAATAAAATAATTAATAATTAATAAAAATTATATTATTCTTAATATAAGAAAATACCCAACACGTACAAGTTAAAAAAAGTCAATGATGTATTTTCATATTCTAAAAGATTTATAAAATACACGTGGTGTCTACAGTGTTCAATAAATTTGTCTTGGTATATCCTACTAGACAATTATTCATGAACTGACGCATATTTGACTTCTAAATTTGTTCATGATGTAACTTAAAGCAGAAAAAGCACTCTCAACACTTGTCGTACAACCATAAAATCAATACAAATTAAGGATAGCTTGTAATTAAATTAATTGTTAGGTTTTGAAAATAATTAAAGATAGAGAATAGGATTTTGCTATTACACGGTGTTTAGAATATAACAACAACAAAGTTGTAGTCTAATGAAAATTATATGTATTAGTAATAGTAGTATCCCGGGTTTGAATTACCCAAACTACCACTTATATTCCCATACGCAAACTACAAACGAGAGTAGTATAATCGTTCTTTTAAATTTCATGATGTCCCGGACTATTAATTATAATTTTTTTATCAATACGTAAATTACTACCGGGGGTTGGATAATCGATCTTCCAAAATTTAGGGGTGTCCAATTGGCCCTGGGTACCCCTGCGGTTGGATACTCAAATAAATAAACACGCATAACTCGTAAATTAACAACATGACTTGAAATAAATATGGTGCATAGTTCAGCACTTCAGCCTAATAAAACAATTTTAGAAATTACGGGCTAAAGTAGAAAGTTTCAGTATAATTTGGGTCAAAATAATGGATTATGATAGGGTCAGTAAGCATTCGTATGAGTAACTAAATCTGGACCTTTAGATCTAAGTGGGTCCATAAAATTCAGATCTAAGGGTTGTCAATTAAAGACATTTTATTTTCCCTAGTTTTCTTAATCGGCTCTTATCTTCTTCATTCTAACTCTGATTTCAATTTTTTTCCCGTAGATGGAACGAGTTCGTTGTGCTCTACAAAATGAGGTCAATTTTCAATATATTTCGAGAAAGTTTTTTTATTACCAACTACATACCGTATGATAACTTCTTTATTTTTAAGTCGTTTTTTTAAAACGTGTGCTCAGAAGTAACGAGTTCATGATGATCTATTGGATCTATAATTTTCTGGGTGAAAAAAATACTAGATAAAAAATTATCATACTTTACCAATATGGTATGTGGGTGGTAACTTGTAGTAAACAATGATGTAAGTCGTAAAATGACAGTTAGTATACTCCTATTATTATGTATTCAACCTTCTTACCATATTGGTATGTTCATACTTCATACCATCATGGTACGCTTTCTTACCATATGATATTAAATAGGAGCATACCATATGGTAATGACTGTTAAAAAATTATTCAATTTTTTTTGTACTAAAAATATATCAAAGTGGATATCATTTTAAAGAGCACATTTAATCTGATTTATCCGTGAGAAAAAAAATCGACTTAAAACGAGAGAGAAATCGTTCATTAAAAATTAAAGAGGAATAGATAAAAGACTTTCCAGGAGAGAGGATATTGATGTCATACTGATATGAACAGGCTACTCATGCTTACTAACCATAGGATTACTAACCTGATCCGTTCTCCAAAATAATGTATTAACCCTATTTTTCTTTTGTTGTCGTTGATATTGCCTTATTGGTATTTTTTTTTTTTAGATTAAAGGAAGAGCTGAACGCATAGAGAGAGAAAGAGGAGGCCGGCGCCGGTGGGCATGTGGAGCCTGTACGGATGGCTGTTCAACTTCATCTTCCTTATAGCAGTTATTAGCATCATCGGCTACGAGGTCAGTTCATCTCTCTCATTCTCCTCCTCCTCCTCGTTTCTTTTTGTCGCTGGAATTGGAATCGGAGGCGTATTTTTGAGGAATTGATTTCGTTGGACGGAGGAGATTGAGTCGAGATTCGATTGCGATTGCAGTTAATGTGCCTCACGGATCTGGAGTTCGATTACATAAACCCGTACGATTCAGCTCGCCGGATAAACATGGTGGTGTTGCCGGAGTACATTACCCAGGCGGTGTTGTGCCTGTCCTTTCTGTTGACCGGTCACTGGGTGTTGTGCCTCATCTCGGTGCCTTACCTTTACTTCAATCTCACGCTGTAAGTTGATTCCTTTATTTTTGGCGTTTTTACCTGTTTATGTGGTATGAATTGGGAATCAGATGAATTGATCGGGAATTTCGAATTGATGAGATGGTTCGTGGTGTGGCAAATACTTTGTGCAATTGGCAGCTACTTGCAAAGGAAGCACTTGGTTGATGTGACGGAGATATATAACCAGCTGAGCAGGGAGAAAAGCCAGAGGCTTTTCAAGCTGGGCTACCTCGTCATTCTATTAGTCCTTTCTTTGTTCTGGTAATGTTGAATCAAAAAAACCATGTTTCTGGGATATCTCCAACATTGTTGCCTTGTTGGGGTAGGGGCAGTCCTAATGTTTGGATTTGTTTTGTTAGGTTGCTTTGGACCATCGCGGGGGAAGAATTTGATTAAAACTTTGACAAAACCAAGGTATCCATTCTACTTGAATTGAGCCTATTTGTTCATTCGTTTGAGCCCTGTCCGTTTCTGTAAGGAAGGAAGTTGATCATTCTAGTGTTTACCTGCTTTTCTGGAAGGGCAGATGGAGACATAAACTGCTTGCTTGGTTGGATACTACTTTCAGGGCTTCCACCGCAACCTGGTTTAAGTTTGGATGATGTCAAACCTTTGTCTGTCTTTTCGGTCTTAGGTTAAAGTTGCTTCTAATTTGTACTCTTATTTTAGGCGTTCCTTTTATCCATAATGGTCTTAACCAAGCTAGTTAGAAGAATTCGGGCCTGTTTTGTGTGTTGCTTTTGGTTTTGGAGCAGATACTAATAGGTTTCAAGCAATTCCATAAAAAAAAATTGTGGGATGGAAGGTTTAACTGTCGAGCGGATCTTTCTTTACTTGTGGCAATAGAGAGAACTTAGCTTGCTGCCTCAACTTAAAGTTATGCAACTAAAGTAGGTGGGAGTTGTGGATGTAAGAGGATAGATTAACAAGTTGCCGTGAGTCGTCATGATGTGAACACAGAAAAAGTTATGGTTAACGATCTGATTGAGTCGCGAACATGTACTGCTCTTTTTGAGACGTTCGTGGCACTGACTAGTATTGAAGACCACAATTTCCCATCTACTGAAGATATTGCTTGGGGGAACATCAATGTTGCCATTCAACAAGAAAAAAATGGATAGAAAAGGGAGGTAGACGAAGAAAGTGAAGAATTGGGAGAGCTTGGTGCTCAACACGGAGAAGATCCTTCACTAGGAGGAGATGATGTTGAAGAAGTGATTAAATCACAAGGAATGATCTTGGTTGTGGTGTATGTTAATGAGCCAAACCAATGAACACCCAACCTCGAGAAACTCCTTGCAATGGATCCATTCGCCAAGACTTTTTGTCAAATTGAGGTCACACCATCATCAGTTCATCCTGGTGGATGCAATGGTGGTCAATCTGTACAAAGCTACATGTTTTGGGGTAAAGAGATGAAAGAAAAGGAAAGAAGAGGTCTACATAGGCACATCAGAGTCTCAAGATCGATCAAGTCCACGAGCCTTCAATCATGGTCGTACCAAATGCTTGGGACTTGAGACTTCAAATAACCAACAAAAACCACTTCAATGATGTCTTGGGATGGACTTGATGTGCATTATATTAGTGAAAACCAAATGTAATCAAAGTTATAAATCCTAGAAATGCAAAATTGTCATAATCTAACCGAAGTATGAACTGTTTTAGTTAGCGATTCACACTTTACTGTTTTAATCGGTATTAAACAGTAAAAAGCCATCAATTTATCAGTACATAATAAGTAAGAGTATTATAAGTTCTAAGTCTACATGTATATGAGTGTTAAACAATGATTAAAAAAGAGAAACACCCTATCAATTGTTTACCCAAAATAAAATAAAAACTTTTAAGATTACAAGAAGAGTGAGTAACTTATTGTAATTGGCATTTAAGAGGTTATTAGAGTTTGGGTGCTAATTGGTATTTTCCAAATGATAATTGTTTAATATCATTATCAAATGGATTGGAAAGAAAAACCCTACGGATTGTTTGTGTACTATTTCTCTCGGGGTGAGATAGCATGACCACCCCTAAAAGAATTAGAAAAATGGCACCCCTATTAATTATAAACTTTTAAGGTAATTGATTCGTGTTGCATTTAATAATATATCTGAATTAAAAACACATATTAATTACTTTTCTTTTTCAGTGCAATGGTAGTTGTACCAGTGCAATGGTATTAGTGTACATGTGCAATAATAGTTGTATGAGTGCAATGATAGTTCAAAAAAAGGAATGTAATTAATATGAGGTCAGTGTACATGTGCAATGATAGTTGTATCAGTTCAATGGTAGTTCAAAAAAAGGAATATAATTAATATGAGTTTTTAATTCCTAAAATTATTAAATGCAACACGAATTTAATACCATAATTAACTATAATTAATAGAGGGTGTCATTTTTCCAACCCCATAGAGGGGTTAGCAAGCTAACCGATCTCATTTTTTTTCTCTCTCTTATGCTTTTCTTTCTCTGTTCTCCATCGATTACACCCTCAATTTCTCTTCTTCCCAATCTCCGAAATGCTTTCCATTAAATATGGGCTTCAATTTCTTCAACTCCCATTTCTTCTTTCTTTCCATCAATTTCATCAATCTCCTCATCGAGAAGAAAAGGAAGTGCTGGAAGAAAAGGTTGGGAAGGCGGCATCGGCGCCAGAGAGTAGCAAAGAGCCTCGACTGGATAAAATGAGGAGCCAGAAGAATTGACCGGCAGGGCTGTCTCATAATATTCGGAAGTCCTGTTCGAAAATTTAAAGTGATCCTAAAACAATTTCTCCATAAATTTATTAAAAATAAAAATTATTAAAATATATATAAGTTCAAAATATGATTATAAAAGGAATAAACGATATGTTTACAGTTTGATGATAGAAACCTATTTCTAGGGTTCTATCGAGTGGGATGGGAAATTGGGAATTTAGGGATTTAGAGATAGAATTGGGGATTTGAGAAGAGAAAGATAGAGAATCGGCCGAAGCCTTTAGAGGATTGAGATCGAAAATTTAGAGGATTGGGAGAATAGGGTTTTGGAGAGTGTTTTCTTAATATTCTTCTTATTGATTCTGAATGGAAGCCCAAAGTACATATATATAGGAAATAGTGGAAAACCCTAACAATAAACCTAATTCTATTAAATGACTACTAACCTTATTGATAATTACCCTAATAATAATTATATTAATAAATAGAGAAACCCTACAGAAATCAGTTTCTAACATTTGACCAAGAAACCAAGTCCCAATTCCCAGTCCTAGTAGGGAGGGAAGAGAAAATGGATATAGCACAAAAATGGAATGGAGAAATTAAAATAGTCTAATTGATCGAGAGGTGGATGCGAGGAAGTCTAATAGATCGTGGTGACCCTGTTTAAAATTGAGACGTGGCTCAAATTGACTTTTAACTATAATAAAACTAAAATGATTATAATACCATTATTCAAAATGTAATATTTTCTACGTAGTTCAAAATGAAATTATCTATTATCTCTTTGATTTTCGTATCCTCCATGAGCTCATTTTCAATTGTTATTATAGCTAAAATTATCTATTAAACTCGTCATCATACTCATAATCAATCAATCATACACTAAAAATACAATCTACAATACACGATCGATAACTGACGAATCAAAGTGGAGGCCCCTAATATTCGGAGGCCATGTGCCGAAGGACGGGCTAGCACACCCTCTTGGCTGGCCCTGTCTACCGGGAAGGCAACGTCGGTGTGATGGAGTAGTTGGGAGCTTCGCCAACGATGTTTATTTGATTTTTGTCCCAAGCTCCCAATTGCTCACTAATACTTTTTAAATTTTGTCAGTTGAATTTCTAAGCCGACTGCTAGGTTTATTCGGTTCGGTCAGGTCCCGATTTTACCTATCGGACCGAACGACATAGTTTGATTCTAACAACACTGTAAAAACTCTATGATCGTATTCCATAAGGCTTTCTAACAATAGTTATTCACATCTAATCATATAATGCTCGGATAATGACTCAACAAAAACAAATAGGTTGAGGTTCCCTATTTTTAGTTGGTTTTCGAGATGCATATAAAGTAAATCATAATATAAAAGGGGTAAATGCCAAGTTTGGTCACTGTGTTTATTAAAATGTGTCATGTTTCGTCACTGGAAAAAATTAATATCAATTTTGATCACTCGAATTACTAAAACATTCCACATTTAGTCACTCTCCGTTAAGTTTGTCTGATGTGGCAGTCAACCTTAACAATTGACCGTTAAATGTCTGACGTGGACATTAAAAAAGTAATAAAAAATAAATTTAATTCTTTTAATATTTCCACATCATCAAAATATAAAAATTAAAATCTTCCACCCCACTGGGTTTCTGATTAGGCTTCCCCTTGATTTGCCCTCGTTTAATGGACTAACTATTACTTCACTTTAAACTACTATCTAGTCAACCAAACCAATAATGTTTATTTAAACTACCTAATTAGAGAGAAATGACAACTAATTAGTGAGAGGACGATAGAGATGAAATAGTTACTTAGGATCTAATCCTTCTAGTAGTAGGAATAGTAGATGATTTTGCAAGCCTTATCATGACTTACATATCTTCTACATTGGGAGAAAACTCTTAGACTAGTAATTGCTGCAATGATCTTGTATCACATTCACATCCAAACTTCTAGGCAACTATGTTAACTCAAGGATCATGTAACTAACTAGCTACATAGAGCATTAGGTCCAAACTCTCTAATGAGATTTATCCCTTTGCAAATGCGGTCACAACTTGATGGTCATGTAATTGCAACCTCACAATATCGATGGGAGGCCAAAACTCTTCTTTTCTTGCTCCTATGCATTGACAAAATGACCGGATGAATCCCAAATCGATCCCCAATCAAATGACGATGAGTATAAGCCCTTGAACATCATAAAAAACATCAAGCGGGCATAAAACATGACAAAATATGGTAGTTTCCCCATGAAAAGCTAGTAAAGCTAATGGTTTATGAACAGGAACTAATATTGGCATAAATAGATCACAATGTGAATTTAGTACAACGATTTTAGTACGAGAATGCCTCAATAAGTGAACGGCTATTTGCCGCCAACCAAATTGCTATTTGCCGCCAACTAAAAAAAAAAAAAATTTGAATTCAAATTTTGAATTTTCCCTCCCTTCCCTTCCTTTCATTCTATAAATTCGGATATCAGGAACATTTGACTCATTCCAACAAAAACTTCTGTTGACGAGCCCAGTGCCTCCGTTGCCGGCACCGTTCTTCCGTCGTCGGCTAACCTCCCGTCGCCCTCAATCGTCGGAAAACAAGTAAGTGGACTTATTCCGGTCAGTTTTCCAATTTTCCGGCGAAAAACACGGTGGGCCGAAAAAAAATTGCGGCCGGAGCGACGTCGGGCCGAAAAAAATTTGCGGCCGGTATGACGGCCGGCCGAAAAATTCTTTCGGCCCGGCGACGCCTCGGCCGCAAATTTTTTTCGGCCGGTCGCCGAACACGCCGGCCAAAAATTTTTTGGTGACGTGTTCGTCGGCCGGCCGAAAAAAATTTGCGGCCGGAGAATCGCCGGGCCGAAAGAATTTTTCGGCAAATTTTTTCGGCCGGTCGCCGAACACGCCGGCCAAAAATTTTCCGGCGGCGTGTTCGTCGGCCGGCCGAAAAAAATTTGCGGCCGGAACGTCGCCGGGCCGAAAGAATTTTTCGGCCGGACGGCTCACCGGCCGCAAATGTTTTTCGGCCCGGCGGCGCACCGGCCGCAAATTTTTTTCGGCCTGACGTCGCTCCGGCCGCAAATTTTTTCGGTCAGCCAACGCACTGGCCGCAAAATTCTTTCGGCCCGGCCAGTTTTGGTATTTAATTTAATATGATAATTAATTAGCAATTAGTGTTAATATTTATTTAAGTTGGTGTATAAATGTTTGTTTTTTATAATAGGCATTTGAAAGTTTAATTACTTAGATTAGTTAATGGAATTTTAATTAATTAAGAATTGATTTAATAATTAATGTTAATATTTAGTACATTAGTTAATAGAAAATTAATTAATTTCTGATTAATTAACAATTAATGTTAATAGTACATTAGTTAATACAAATTTAATTAATTTGTGAATAATTAACAATTAATGTTAATAGTACATTAGTTAATAGAAAATTAATTAATTAGTGCGCATCTAAGTATGATATTGTTTAAATTTGTAGATAATTAGATATGGATGATGCGGGTGATGCGGGTGGGAATGAGTTGAATAGATTCAATGGTAGGGTTGTTGATGTATCAGCACGAAGGAAGAATAAGGAGAATAAGCGCTCTCGAGATATTGGACATCAGTCACAGGCAAATTTAGGGGAGGATGAGTTAGAGGCTCCTACTGTAGTTGCTCGTTCGGCATCACGGGCGTCTGGTTCCCATGGGAGGAACCAGGGTGCTGCATCGAGAGTGGTCTCGGCTGATTTTGATGAGGACGATAATGATGAGGATATCGAGGTCCCTCCACCTACGCATGGACATGGACGAGGGCCGTCTTGTATGGCAACATCACGTCCTGATATGTATAGGGACCGAGCTAACGACTGTCCTTCAACTCCGCCGCCCCATCTAACATCAGTTTGATTGCCTCAGAACTAACGACCCTCCTCAAAAACGTGCACGGAGGCTCAATTGCCCTACTCAGATTGCGGTTTAGTGACTTGTGCAGTTCATTCACCACTTCCAGAAACTGATGTTCCATGTAGTTGTGGTTCTTCGCAAAACAAGTGTCGATCGCTCCTCTACCAGACACAAGGAAAGTCTTGAATGAAGAGTGAGATGACTCAACTCTATTCGAGCTCGTGTTACCAAGATGAAACACATGGTTCATGTAGCACTTTGCCCACATTGTCTGATGAGGCAACCACTCACCTCGCACGTAGTCGACCATTTTTATGTTCTTCACTGTCCAGACCCTCTCAAACTCATTAATCTTTTGAAGAAAACCCTCCTGAGTCCAACTCCATGCAGCTTTGTCGAAATATTTCTTCCATACCGCTTGTGCTACCTCTCTTTTTGCAATTCCACCAAGTAACACTTCAAACTTTTGCTTCACACAGTTGTTGACGTGCCATAAACATAGTAGGTGGACAGTATGTGGGAGAGGGAAGACCACAGGAATAGAAGCAAGCAAACCACCTTCTTTGTATGTCACAATGACATTCGGAACCGTATCACCGAGCAACCCTTTAATACATCGCAGCAGCCACTCATATGTTTCATTTGTTTCCTGCTTAATAATTGCACATGCAATGTTGAAATTCTTCTTCACTGGAGTAACCCCAATAATCTCAACCCATGGCCAGCCGTACCTGTTGGTCTTGTAGGTCGAGTCAATGAGGATGACGTACGGCCATGCATGCAACATCTGAATGGACGTCGGGTGCGCAAAAAACATATTAGTGAGCACATTATTAGAGTCCTTTTGCAAACAGATATGGTACCCACGATGTTCAGCTCCGTGAAGCGCAAACTGTATCGCATCCATTTCACCCATCTCATCCAATCTTGTCTTGGAATTTATGTTGTACATCTGTTTGATATCATGATGCACACCCCCTTCAGTATTGAGTGTCGTCTTCTGCTGATTTGGTCTCACCCCCGCCTTCCTCATTAATCTTAACCTCTCTTTTTCAGCCTCACTAAACTGTTTGTTGTGTCGGTGATGTTCTGGATACAACACCTTTTCATGGTTGTGAAACCCTCTATTAGCTCCGGTTTCACGACTTGTCACTCCCACTATGACCCATGTGTTTGGACCATCCTTTTGCCATACTTCCTTTATACATATCTGAAACTGGCAACCAGTACCCTTCGAACTAATATTCCCACGCGTCTCCTTCGTAGGGTCTGGTTTATAAGACTTAACGATCCTACTACTTCTGTCGCAATACATACAGAGGGCAGTAACAGGATGTAGTCCAGCAATATTCGGTTTCCATGCTCCTCTAACAATAAAGAACCCACACTGTTGAGCGATTGGTCTTGCAGCTAACTCAGCTAACTCCACACTTGCATAATGGATCCCATTCTCAAATTCCTGTGTGTAATCATGATCGGCCGGTAACAACTCTGACATTTTTCCTACAATTACAATATAATACATCAATATTCCTGTGAACCTAAACGCTAATTTCAAGTCTTAACCGCTAAATTCAACTCCTAAACTCTAAATTCAACTCCTAAAATCGAATTTTTCAGAAAAATTGCAAAAACAAACGGTGGGCCGAAAAATTCCGGTGGCCGGAACCTGGCCGGGCCGAAAAATTCCGGCGGCCGGAGCCAGGCTGAGCCGAAAATATCTTGCGGCTCAGCCTGGTTCCGGCAGCCGGAATTTTTCGGCCCGGCCACCGGAAATTTTCGGCCCGGCCAGGTTCCGGCCGCCGGAAATTTTCGGCCCACCGTCTGTTCGTTTCAAATCGTCGGAAAAATTGTTCGAAACTACAAAAAAATTACGCACCTGCTTAGTGATGATTCATTGATGCGTGTAAGTAGTATATGTCGAGGATAGGCTTTCCCGATGATTTTCCGGCGAGCGTTGAATTTTTCTGATTCAATACGTTCTCTGAAAGTTGGATATGTTGTAGATTGTGAAACTCCTTACCCAAAGATTTATATATATATACTCTCTTTTTTTTTTTTTTTTTGTTGGCGGCAAATAGCAATTTGGTTGGCGGCAAATAGCAAGCCCCCCATCCTTTAGGGAAAAAATCCAAAAGTACCATTGTTTAAAAAAAAAATTCCAAAAATACCACCCAATCCCAAAAAATTCCAAAAATACCACCCTTTTTCAAAAACCGCCACCCCACCCAGCGGTTTACACGAAAACCGTTTGTCGGGGGCGCGGTTTTCTATGCAAACCGCGGGCCTAGGGGGCGGTTATAAAAAAAAAAATAATTTGACCACCCCACCCAGCAGTTTGGTCCAAAATTTTTTTTTTTTTCCCGATCAACTCCTAACTTCGGCCGAAACTTCAAACGAACGTAACTTTGCACTCGGGTATCCGATTGTAGCGATTTTTTTTTTCATTTCGCATAACTTTTCAAGATCTACAACTTTTAGAAGGATGAAATTTTCAAAACAGGAACTATTTGTGGATATACGGGACCTTGAGAATAACTTTACCTTTACTTTTCACAAATACATGTACATTTTGAAATTATGATTATATTAAAAGTTGTAGATCTTGAAAAGTTATGCGGAATCAAAAAAGAATTCATGACATTCGGATTTTGGAGCACAAAGTTATGGCTGCCCAAAGTTTGACGAAATAAAAAAAGGCTCGTTCGGGGTGGCAAATGACGTTTTTTTGAGACGAAGGCGGGACCCATTAGTTTGCGGCTTGCAAGATCTCAAAAAGCTATTCGGATTCAAAAAATGGAGGCCGCAAACTTTTTGAGATCTTGCAAGCCGCATACCGCGGGGTCTCGCATTTCGTCAAACTTTGGACGGTCATAACTTTGTGATCCTAAATCCGAATGTTATGAATTTTTTTTTGATTCCGCATAACTTTTCAAGATCTACAACTTTTAATATAATCATAATTTCAAAATGTACATGGATTTGTGAAAAGTAAAGGTAAAGTTATTCTCAAGGTCCCGTATATCCACAAATAGTTCCTGTTTTGAAAATTTCATCCTACTAAAAGTTGTAGATCTTGAAAAGTTATGCGACATGAAAAAAAAATTGCATCGATCGGATACCCGAGTGCAAAGTTACATTCGTTTGAAGTTTCGGCCGAAGTTAGGAGTTGATCTGAAAAAAAAAAAAAATTTGGACCAAACCGCTGGGTGGGGTGGCGGTTTTGGGTCAAACCGCCACCCCACCCAGCGGTTTGTTCAAATTTTTTTTTTTTTTATAACCGCCCCTAGGCCCGCGGTTTGCATAGAAAACCGCGCCCCCGACAAACGGTTTTCGTGTAAACCGCTGGGTGGGGTGGCGATTTTTAAAAAAGGGTGGTATTTTTGGAATTTTTTGGGATTGGGTAGTATTTTTGGAAATTTTTTTTTTAAACAGTGGTACTTTTGGATTTTTTCCCTAAATAAAGGGGGAGAAAAGTGGCCAATTGAGGCATTATCATTGTCACCACCCTATTACCCCTCCCTCATTGGATTTCATATTTTACTTCAAACTTCCCAGTGACATTGTGCATATTCGATAGAAATTATTTGCATCTTCATTTTCTTGTGACCCACTTCCAAAGATTCATGTCGAGCATGGACAATAGAGAGGTATTGAGTTGCATGATTTGGAGATCAATGGCAGACTTCAAAGATCGTGCCCTTGATTTGCTCCAAGTTCCAGCACACTAAGTGAGAGAAACAAGGGCTTTTGAAGCTAGTAAGAGATAGAGACTTGAATGAAGGCTAAGAAGGGGGATTTTTCCATCTTAGGTGAAGATTTCTTCAAGCAAAGAAGAGCAAATTGAAGAGTGAATGAAGATTTCCTTCCTCCCTCTCATAATTTCTTCTTTCTTTTCATCTATGGGTTAAAACCCCTTGTACCGAGGTAAGATGAACCAAGCCCTAGGATGTTTGTGTAATTGGATAATGACTTTGGTCACTAGTCTACTACTTCCTCAATCTATGGTATATTTGTCATAGGTTGGAGTAGTTAGTAGAGCGTGAACCATGTGTGAGTATCTTCCCTTGGTGGTGGGACTTCCAAAGAAAGCCGATATTTTTATTGGTGTTACGGATTTCAAATGCATTTATTCGAGAATGATTCAACCCTAATTAGACAAAATTTTGTTGACTTCGTCTTGCGTTTTCATCGAAAATATCACACATACTTGATCTATTGATTTCTCCAATTCTATTCAAAATTTAGCATTTGGTCCAGTTGCAAATTCTAGGTCAAGATGCCTACACAAATTTTGTTGAGTGATTGTGGCATTTGATTTCGTGATCGGTGATGCCCAACCTCCTTCCTCTTCGCCCTGTTGAAGCATCCAAAGAAAAGAAATGGCCGAAGTTGTCAGCATACATGTATTAGAAGAAAGCAAGGTCGAGTTTTAGAAACCAGGCGCATAAAATGATTGCATAGGTAAGAAGCTATATGTTTCATTACATCCAAACTAGAAGCTCTGCTCAGCACAAACAAGCGCCTAAATGCTAAATGCTAATCAACCTAACAATAGTAACGATACAAATTAAGATAACAACACGATCCCTACTAAAACTCTCAACACAACAACCCAAGGAATACGAATCATGCCACTATGTCCGCATCTCTCTCAACTCGTAGTTCCTCCTACAACCTTAAAACTCTAGTACTAAACATTAATAAACAACAACTGATTTTCAACAAATCAATGCAGTCGGTTAGAGATCAAGACCCTTTGCGAGAAACATCCTCGGACTTCCATTTGGGGCTGGTTAAATTCAACCCTCCGGCAGCGAGATGTTGATATCAGTTCCTGAATTCCTATGATGATCTGACATCGATTGGAGAGCCGCCCAGGTGTCCCGCCGATGAAACGAGTTCTGCATATGTCCACCCATATTATTGTCATCTCTTTCCACATGATGGATCCCACCCATAGTGATCGCCGGAGCTTCTTGTGCGACAGAAATCGGAACGACGGAGTGGTCCATCTTCACCTTCTTTGGTTTAGGAGGATCTGGCTGGTTGTTCCCTGGCAGGAAACTACCCACCACAACCTGGTAAAACCAACAACGACAACAAAAAGATGAATCTTTTCTCTTTTTGAGAGTGTGTGCTCCAACATTCTAGGAATGGGTAGCAACTGGCTAGGGAAAATATAGATAGAACATAAATGATGCAATCATTCAACTCAACCATGTGCTCTTTTGAAATTGAGAATCTTTCACCAAAAAAATGTAAAAGAAGCTCACTTGTACAGGAGTAGCAGCTATCAGGAGACCAGCAACGCTGCCCCCAACAACGCGGCCATCAGGGCTTGCCAGAGAGACACTCATCCCACCTGATCTGCTTCTCGACCCTTGACTCTCAGTCGGCATAAATGATCCAGACAAGGAAAGTATTTCAAAGCGACCCTGTTAAATTCATGGAACATGAATTACAGTTAATTATAGGCTAAAGTTCATGAGCCAAGGGACAATTGAAACCAAGAGTGGTGACTGGTGAGAAGAATCAAAACCAGTAATACCTCATATGTCAGGGTACCCCCAGAAGAATCAGATTGACGAAGAGTAACATTCGAGATCACTCCATTCGCTGAAAGAATGCAAATGGCTCGAGGTCCTTGTTGTGAGAAAGATATGACCTTCATTGTGACATCCTTTGATAACCAAGAAAAATTATAAAACTGAAATGAGGTGGCGAATGAGAGCGCCTTACAGCAATATATAGGCCCAGAAGATGCAACCTTCCTAGGGAAAAAGTATCGACTACATATGCCTACAACTATGCAAAACTTGAAAGAACAGTGGATTGCATCAATGTTTAAGACATAATTCATGCATAATTAAGCTCCTAAAGTCAAAGTTGTATGATATGCAATCATAACAGTGCCCACCATGGTTGATTTTGGTCAAGCATCTAAAAGTTACTTGGTGTTGTAAGTACTTCAGATACAACTGCCTACTGACTGTTTTCGTTCTAGAATTGGGACACGGTAGAAGAGCCTGAAATATAGGATTGAATTGACAACTTAAAGCTCCAACTTTCTCTACCCTAAGAGGAGGGGTGAAGAAACAAAATTCAGGTACTTTCAAAGAAGCACATACCTCGCCGGCATTAACAGGGATGACATGAGGGGTAAAATTTGTGCCAACAGACTGAGGACCCCAATCATCTAGAAAGCAGAGAGAAAAGAAACATCAGGTTATCTGAATGTCAAACTTTATGGTACAAGTTAATTCCGTTTACGTAGTTCATGATCTTTGCTAGCTACTTATGCTAAATTAAGCAATCTTGACTTTTGCTATGATGACAAGTACAACAACCATGGCAATGGGAAATCCCATTTGGCAATTGGCATACAGAAGAAAAAAAATGGAAAGAAATTTAAGAGAAGGGCAGAGGAAACAGATATCACAGTCTAAGCACACATATCAATATATCTATAATCTATATTTAGCAGAGAACTTCTATAAAAGGGTTAACTAGATCTTAAGTGTGATTGTTCCCACTTAAAACATGATGCAGATACTCAAAACGTTGTTGATGCTACTTGCACTTGCCACGAACGATGAGCAGAAAACACAATCCAATGAAACAAAATCCAGTTACTCTCCATTGGCAATAGAGAAATAAGCAGTGAAACCTCATGAGGAATAATAGGAAAACAGAAAACCCTTTGGTGCATACCATCAGCAAAAATAAAGGGAAAAGGTTCAAATGAACAAACAAAAGACAAAATGGAAACAGAATAAAAAGATTCCCTTCGTTCCCATTGTATGTATTCTCAGCACAAGTATCATATTGCCAAATCCTTGGAAAAACATATATCCCGCTTCAAAATGGTCCCCCGTCAAGAACAGGTTGGCGGGATGAATCCAGTCATGGGGAGAATTCAAACCTTGGACCAACAAAGACCCCATCTGACATAATTTCATGACCGCATTATGATTAGGATTAGCAAGTTGTGCTAATCCTAATAAAGGGGAAGAAACAAGTAACAGATGTTTTTCAACAGGCAAGCATTGCATTGTAAATTTGTAATCATTCATTCAATGCCTTGCGTATATAAGATGTTATCGAAAAGAAAGAAGAAGAGAATTACCAAGATTCTCCATTCCAATTTTCTTGTGCTTCTTTTTCTCGTACCCAGCTGACAGCACTTTACTGGGTTTCCCCACAACAGAGTGAGAGTTAGAGTAGTCTCCAGCCACAGTTGAGGCAGGTGGGGCCGAAGCAGAGATTGGCAGTGGCGATAAAGCTCTGTTCCCAACCCCATCCGGTGCATACTTCCTCGGCCTACCTCGCTTCTTCTTCTCTCCGCCGCCGCTGCCGCCGCCGCTGACCGGAGAAGACAGCACCATCTGCTGCTGGTGCTGCGGAACCCCAACACCGACCTGGTTAGGGTTTTCGCTCCTCTGAGCTACATGGTAATTGGACGGCGTTTCAGCTCCTATCACCGTCACCCCTGAACTTAGCCCTTCTCGAGTTTCCATGCGTACACAATCCCCGGCGACTTACTAGTGGCTCATTTCTGGGCGTCTGCAGTGATAAAAGGAAACTCAAATGAAAGGAATGAGTTCCCAGAACGAACTCTAACATGCAAAAGATGGAAGCTTTAGAACCAACTCTGGAAAGGGGAAGATTCAATTTAAACAGTAAAATGAAATCAAAATGTCTTCCTGCATTCTTCCACTCAAATCAACACACACAGACGAGACGACAATATGTATAATAGAAGGGATTAAAGACTAAACAGGGTACTGAGCTAGCTACAGAGTTTCTACCTAACTTAGAAATGTAATCTCCTGGAGATCGATTCAGCGGCGAAATGCGAAAAGGAATGAGGAGGGAACAAAAGAAATACGGTACGCCGGAAAACAAGAAGGAAAGGGCAAAAAAAAGAGAGGGGGTTAAGGTCGAGGATCATGACCTGTAACTGCAGCCCTGTTCCCCCCACAAACTGGAAAGAAGATCCACCTTCCCTCCCTCCCTCCTTTTTTTTTCCTCTGCAACTCAAACCGTCGAGTCGTGGGGTTCTTTTCAGTCTCTCGCACAGCCTTTCCTTCTTCTTCGTCGTCTTCTTTTCCTTTGCTTCCCCCTATTTTTTTTCCTTCTCACATTAACCTGCTGAGTGAAAGCTTAAGCACAGTACTAATAGAAGTAAGCAATTATTTGCTAAACCCAATAATTCAATTCATTTAAGAGGAATTTCGCGTCCGGGAACGGGAAATGTAAGCCAGATTCTTTTCATTTTTTTTACTTTTTTTTGTTTGGGTTTCCTCCAAGTTTGAATTTTGAAGGGGTTTTCATTTTCGGCCACTAGCCAAGCAGACCAGACCAGGGGTCGTTGTGTAATTTGCTGGACAGGTTTTTGAAAACCGAAAAAGTAATTGCCATTTCACTTTTTAATTTGAATAATAATTGATTTATGGCTCTCGTTTCGGTTTAAATGACAAAAAGCTGCAGGAAGGAAGACCAAACTTTTTGTCATTTTCCGTCAACCTAAACGTTTGTCCTAATTTTATTCTTATATTAAGGTAATATAGATTTATTTTTTAGTTAGGTATTATTTGAAAAAATTGAACCTAAAACTTCCGGCTTTAAAATTACAGCATAGCTTCTATAAATTAATATAGTCGGAATCATAAAATTATTAATATATATGAATTATTAATTAATTGATAAATTAATTATTATTAATTTAAAGAAGTTTTTCTTATCATGTACCTTCAGCATATCTTCCAAACATTTCAATTCATACGACATGATTAATGATATGGGGTTATCGTAACAAGATGGATGTGAGTCATTTGTTTGAGTATCCACGTGAAAATGATGAATGTATCGCGGCACACACCTTAGAAGAAATTGTGGCTAATGTCATTGTAGGTTCAATTGAGGATGAAGGAGATGACGATTCAACACCTTTGGAACCGGTCACGTAAAGGAAAGCACTTAAACCCACATCGACTCATCATAAATACTTGATGCAATTAGAGAAGATAACACCGGAGATTTTGAGTGCAATGAGGAACGTTCAAGATGACTTTCTATTACAGTTGAACTTCAAGAATAAACAAACAACTATATATTCATATTTTTCTAGATTATCCTAGCTATATTATAAATTTCTAGATAAATTGTATTTTTACAATTATTAATTTATAGAATTAAAAATACATGTATTTATTTAGGTTGGTTCTAAAAAATTATTATCTTCTTATTTTATAAAATTTTCTCATTTTTTACACGGGCCAAAGTCGGGACCAGAGAAATTATTAATTTATACTAGGTTATTAATTTACCGATTATTGATGTAAACAGATGATACTATAATGGTAATTTCCGACTTCAATTTTCTCATAGCTCGTCATACCATACTACTCCTCCCATTATTCTCGTATTCCTATCTTAGTCTAAACATTAATATTAAATGGGGCTTAATGAAGTAACTAAACATATAAAATTGTGATTCGTGCTTAGTTTGACAGGTTAGACAGTCGGGTTGGGCATACAAATCCAACCCAAAGTACAACATGAGGGTAGAAGGTGAAGAGTAGAGTGATTACGATATACTAGATAATTGGCGCGCGCTGCATCATGATCTATATAGTTTTTTTTATAAATCTTTTGAATATTTTTTATATTTGGTTTTGTAAATGATTTTTTTATGGCCTAAATGATCGAAACACTAGATTATTGAGGAGAACAAACTACGCAAATTATTTGGTTGGATGTAGTATAAAGGTAAAATTTAGAAAACGATATTTTGGATTATACAATTGATTAAGTGCCTCAGGTTTTGTTATATTTTTTACTTATTTGAGCATTGCCATCTCAAATACTTAGGTGTAGTAAGTATATGAAAACTCACTCTATAAAAAGTAGCTTACCAACTCCCAAATGTCTTTTTTTTTTTTTTTACTCTTATGCATTTTTAAACCCGGATACATTGAACCAAATAATATATTTAATATATAACATGAACCGACAAATACAATTAACCAAAGCAACATATTTGATTTTCCTAAATCAATATTTTTTTCTGAACTAAATAGCAAAATTTGGGAGAGAATTAGTTTTATAATTGAATTATTGAGGAAATTAACATGATAGAATAGACTAAAAATGAGACGCTCTAAATTAAATCGACTTAGTATCAAGTTATGTGCTTAGTAAATATGCACCATTGAAATGTTGGTCAATAATTAATACTAATTTTTATGTAAAATTTTAACTAATTTTTATGTAAAATTTTAATTACTTAATTATGTAATGGCTTGATACTATTTGTAACTTGGCATTAACATTAAATATTGTGATAAAAAAAATTGCATGGTGAATGTTAATCCCAAATTATTTGAGATTTGGATAAGTGCACTATTCTGTCATATTATTGGTTAAAGATAAACCCCACAATATTTTCTCTTCTTAATCCACAAATCTTATTTCTAACAGCATAGACTCATTTTTTTCCTTCCGTACGTTCTTTGCACCTGATCCCTCTCTTATTCATCTTGACGTCGAATCATCGGCCAACTGGAGTTGCTTCTTCCAGTCACCCTCTTCTAAGAGCATTTCTACTATGTTATATAGTATTGGTGTTTTAATGTACAACTTGAAGTTGTATCATAACATTAAATGTATAAGTTTAGGTTGTATCATAAAGGAATTTGTATTGGTACAACTTTACAACTTGAAGTTGTACCATCACATAAAAGTACAAGTTCAAGTTGTACCATAAAAGAATTTGTACAAAAAATATAGGTACAATTTGAATTGTACCATAACTTAAAAGTACAATTTCAAGTTGTACCATAAAGACAAAAGCCTATAAAACCAATACTATATAGCATTGTAAAATTCCTCCTCCTTCTAATTGCATACCCTCTTATTTGATTACCTAATTCCACCGGCAACAAAACAGAGTGCCCACTGCCCATAGTTTGTTACTTGTCCACAACGGCTCTGGATATTGGGGATTGGGAAGGAAGAGGCGATGATTGGGGCTCAAGATAGAGTGCATAACCATGGGTTATGCACCCATCAATAACCAAATCTGGACCTTTTATTTAGAAAATCCAGATCTAAGAATGGAGAATAAAGAACATTTTTATTTTTCCTAGCTTTTTTAATCGGCTCATATCTTTTTCGTTTTAACTTGAATTTTAATTTTTTTTGCACAAATGGAACGAGTTCATCTTGCTCTACAAAATGAGATCAATTTTCAATATTTTTTAAGAAAAAAAAATTCTGGCCTCTCGGTACCAACTGCATACCATATGGTATTTTCTTCGTTTTTAATTCGTTTTTGAAAACGTTTGCACAGAAGGAACGAGTTTATCATGATCTATTGGATCTACAAATTTCTGGGTGAAAAAATTACATGACCAAAAAATACCACACAATACCATACAATACCCTGGTACGGGGTGGTATATTATGGTATTTTCTTCGTTTTTAATTCGTTTTTGAAAACGTTTGCACAGAAGGGACGAGTTCATCATGATCTATTGGATCTACAAATTTCTGGGTGAACAAATTACATGACAAAAAAATACCACACAATACCATACAATACCACCCTGGTACGGGGTGGTATATTATGGTACACAATGATAAAAGTCGTAAATGACAGTTAATATACTTCTACTATCATGTATTCAATCATCCTACAGTCTTGGTTTGTTCATACCACCATGGTACGCTTTTCAAACCATAGGTATGTTCTTATTTCAATACCAGTCAATACCATATGGTATAGACTGGTAAAAAATAGCTCAATCTTTTTTTTGTTCGAAAAATACATCAAAGTGGATATCATTTTGAAGAGCACAATTAATCTGATCTAACTGCGCAAAAAAAATTAAATTTCGACTTAAAACGAGTGAGAAATCGTCCGTCAAAGATTAAGAAAGGGAAAATTAAAGGCTTTCCAGGAGAGAGGGATGCTGATGTCATGCTGATGTGGGCTGGTTACTCATGGTTACTCACCATAAGGTTACTGACCTGATCCGTTCCCGATGATTGGGAAGAGTCAGTGACGTTTGGGGGAACCTATCAGCTCAATAACCTTATGGTGAGTAACCATGAGTAACCCGTCCACATCACCAAGACATCAGCATCCCTCTCTCTCTCTCTCTCTCTCTCTCCTGAAAAAACCTTTAATTTTCTCTTCCTTAATCTTTGACGGACGATTTCTCACTTGTTTTAAGTCGAAATTTAATTTTTTTACACAATTAGATCAGATTAATTGTGTTCTTCAAAATGATATCCACTTTGATATATTTTTCGAACAAAAAAAAATTGAGCCATTTTTTACCAGTCTATACCATATGGTATTGACTGGTATTGAAATAAGAGCATACCTATGGTTTGAAAAGCATATCATGGTAGTATGAACAACCAAGACTGTAGGATGGTTGAATACATGATAGTAGAAATATATTAACTATCATTTATGACTTTTAACATTGTGTACCATAAGATATCA